CGGGACTATGAGTTTAGCCAATATGACGCTATGATTTTCTTCGGGTTGCTCGAAAGATGTAAAACGGTGGTCATGTTTCTTAGTTTTATTTTAGACTAATAATTTTCAAAAATTTGTTCCCCACAAAGAAGGAGATGGGGATTTCATAATTTCAAAATTACTAGTATGGAGGCGAAAATGGGGAAAGAAAACTAAACCCTATGAATGAGAATGACATTATCCATCTCCTATTCATCCCATTGCCATCTCTAAACCTACCCAATAGTTACAAAAACTGTTGGAAGTTTTCTTTTTTAGTAAGTAAAACTCTTGGAAGCTATAATATGCCTAATTAGCCTTGTAATTAATTAATCATAGTCAACGATCCATGTGCCTTGATAACAAAACAGGTTCACGTATAGTATCAATTAGAGTGGCCCTACTTGGCTGTGTCTAAATGGAATTTTAAACATTTGGCAAAAATAAGGAAAGAAAAAAAGAAGAATTTTTAACATCCACATCAATATAATAAATTACTTGTTTTTTTTTCTCGTCACGGTTGAAAATCACTCATTAATTCACAAACCTTTTGGAATATGTTAATGTGGGTCTACTTCAATGCTGAAGACTTACCCTTTTTCTTCTCTCTGACCAGGTTGGACTTGAAATTCTAAAACGTCAAAAACCCATTTGATGCATTTAACTTCCAAGCTTGCCGCTTTTGGGCATTTGTGCCTTTTCTTGGGGATACTTAGACGTTAAGTTGTTAACCCGTTTTTAGTCAACTTGCCACTTTTTTTTCCCCTTCCCTGCTTGGCTACTTGTTCATGCAAATCCATTTATGGTAAATTAATGTGGTATCAAACCCAAAAGGATGTGAATGCTTAGGACAAGCAACTAGTACGGCGACGACAATGTTTTAAAGAGGCTGTTTCCACACCACAAAATAAATAACAAAGTATGACTTACAAGAGAGAGAAGGAGAGGGGAGAGAGGCCATCGACCCCCAAGTCAGGTGGCGGCCGGGGTTTCTTTCCTTAGAGTTTTCTCTTTGCTTAAGACGAAATAATAGTACTAAAAAAATCATCACATTTTGTGACTACATTAGCTAATTCCGTTGTTATAAGAATACAGCCACATATTATAACCAGTCCATGTGTTATAATATGAGTAAGTATTTATTGATATTGTATCCTAAAAATGGAAAATATCAATCTTGTTATTCATTCGTGAATTGATATTATGTGACTGTATTTCAATACTACACAATAATTTTTAGCATTATTGTTGCCCTAAACAACTTGAATTTAGGAATCGTAACCATCATCAGCTTTGTATATGGACGGGATTTTGAAGGAGGGGGAATATAAATGGTTGAAACAAATGAAGATTCTGGATCTCTTTTCCCCTTTTGATTCTTTAAATTTTTACTTAAGACAAAGGCTGGCTGGTTTCTTACTTTTCTTTGATGGTGGTCCATGGAAAAAGACTATTTGTACTCCGAACAATAACATGAATGAATATGATACGCATTACGCATACCCTGAAAGAAATCTCAAAGAAGACTTGAAAGCTCTTCAACTGATTTCCCACTGTCCAGTCCACCCATGACCAGGGCATTTTCGTCATTTCAACACAACCAGAATCATTACCCCACCCAAAACGCCGCCGTTTCTTCACACAACAATCGCAGCGAAATTCCAAATATACCCTCACCCCAATACAAAAGTGAGCTGTTCAAAAGCGAGTCGTCCACCACTACACACGCAAAGTAGTAAAACAGGTTGAGTAAAATCCGTGATTCGATAGGGTCATTAACTGCGGCATTTCCTTGAAATATTCCTTTTTTAAAAAGGACTTTTTTGTCACTTACGTGGCTAGTGGCCAAGCCAAGCTGAGCCGAAGACCTGTTTGACACGTTTCCAAGTCTTTGACATAGTGTACCAGCCGAGCCGCCATTAAGACCAAGACCTACGCCTTGAGTCCATGTGTAAATAAATATATAAAATAAGAAATATAATTTAAATGAATTTTCTTATTCAAGGGCTTCGTTTTCGCTGACTGTGGAAAACTAATCATTAGGCCAACCTCCGTGTAACAAAAGCTCAAGGCGCAAGCAACCAATAGCATCTGTTGATTTTTCTAATTTTCTGAGAGAGCATAAATAAGGTTCTCTTCTCGTGAGAGAGCGAAAACGGAAAAAGGTGGGACCGGTCGTCTGGGCGCGTGAAACCTGCACTAACTGCCAGCTATTCCAGCTCTGGCACCACCCACAGTAATATACAAACAGCCAGAAACCGCAGTCTTATCCACGTCCACGTGTCTTTTTGGGCTCAAATCGTACCTCCACGTGTCGAGTCCATCTTGTTGTTCGGAACTACGTCTGGTCACGCATGAGGGTAGTTAATCCACTTACGCCGAAGTGATCTTGGTGCCTCCCTTGTGGAAAGCCCCGCGCAATGTCGAAACCGACCCTCGCCTTCCGTGGAAAGTAGGCAACCAACCGAGGACTAAAATGTCTTTTAGCGCGAAAAAGGCTAACTAACTGGAAGGTAGGTGTAATTCATCTTGTGCAACGAGGAAGTTTCAACGATCAAGTACTGTGCATGCATACGGGAATTTCAGACTCTGTATTCTTGTCAAATCTGATCCGTCCAAATCAAGACCCCGTAACCCGATCAACGGTCAGATTTCCGCCTACTGGTACTTGTTGAGACTCAGGCTTTTCCACACGTGATAATTCCGTCTTTCCTGTAACTTTCATTTTCTCTGACCCAAACAGCAACCATAACCCTTCGATAACACCGTCCTCCGAATAGACTAAAATACCCTTCCTCTAAAGCATTTATTCCCTCCTCTTTATACCCCAACCGAAGTTCTTTCCGGGGTACTATCGTGCTAAAAAGAAAAACGGAAGGCTTCCAGATCCAGCGAAACGCGGGCAGAGAAGTAAAAACGCGTTTTGGCCGGCTAGCGTTTGGTTGAACCACCTAACAACTACCACTTTGGTTCACACAAACTTTCTATTTTCTCATTAAAATATTTAATATGCTTCAATTATTTTTTCAAAAACAATTTAGAGAAAAAATTAAAAAAATTTACTTGTAATTAATTTCCCTTTTTATATTTATTTCCTTAACCAATCCAGTTTCCTAGTGAGAACAGACGAGACTCAATAAAAGCGTTTAATATTTTACGGCTATAAAACTATAAATTATCCTCCTCGAAGACCTTTTTCGGTTTCTTTCTTTAGCCCACCCTCTCTTTCTCTCTCTCTCTCCCTTCTCTTTCACTATTTCTCTCTCCCTGCTTTTTGCCGGGAAGCTTCCTACGTCGCCGGAAAACCGCTTTGCCTCCGGCGATTAGCATCCATCTTCTGCCGGAAAACCGCTGTGTATTCCTCTCTCATCGACAGTCTTCGAACTTGTTCCTGTTTTTTCGTTGACTCGGTGGTTGGAGGCTTTGGATCTCTGATTTCGAAGCTTTACGTTGCCGTTTTGCACGTTTGGTGAGAATGTGGGCTGCCTGGTTCTCGTTCGAGGCTTGCTGTTGATTGGCCGTGGCTGGGATTGTGATCTAGGGTTTGGTTCTCCGATTTGGATTCGGTTTCTGCGGTTTTTGTTTCTTATCCTTTGTGTGTTGCGGTGAACAAAGACGGAGGCGTACAAAGAGCGACTTCGGAATGAGATGGTGTGTTTTGCTTTGTTCTCTTACCATTCTTATTTTATTTTCTTTTACGTTCTGACTTTTTAAATTTTTTTTTCTTTCTATTATTCTGTTTCAGCGTTCAGATCTTGTACATTGCTCTCACTTTTTCTGCAATGCTTATATTTATTTATTTTCTCTCTTCTATTTTCTAAAAATTGATTTGTCAAAAAAATTGCCTTCTGCATTCGTGGGATTCACGATACGCATGAATGGCTGGAATGCCTTTTAGGAGTAGAGTTTTTTTACTAAATTTTCATTGATTTTTTCTACGGAAATTTTAATTGATTTTTTCTACGGAAATTTTCAATTCAGTTTTGTTAGTAATTATAGTTTCTGGAGGGGTTTCGATTTTCGGGGGTGTTTATTATTACTTTTTTGCTTCTAGATTTTTATTTGTTTTTCAGTTCAGTTTTTAATGCTGCTGTAATATTTGGGCTTCGCTGATGATGAACTTAACAGATGGTTCAACAGTTTGACTGTGTATTATTGTTGGGGTTTGAAGATATTTAGGAGTTTCTTTAGGAAATTTTTTCATAATGTCTATTGGGGTCTTTAGCTTTCCCTCTGTTTTTCCTTTTCCTATATATTAATATATATAAGTTTGAAACTTTTTACATGGATCGTCTTAAATTGCAATCGTTATTATGACATGCGTTTTTAAATGTTGTTGATAATGTGATTTACATAAAGTGGTTGTAGTTTTATGTTCAGTGCCTTATAAGGATGGTTAAATTCAGAACTGATTAAGCGGAGCATGACATTCACTTCGTCCGCTGTTATATAAATATTAATTTAGGCTTATGTTTGTATGGGTTCATTGTATATCATGTATCTTTTGCTAATGTAATAGAATGTCTTTGTTTCTCGTTCCATAGGGTTTCAATAGATTGACATCATAGTTTTCTCCGACGTAGCAAAGGTTGTGGGTAGGTACTGATAAGAGGATTTTGAGGCAGGCAGTTTTGGTTTTTTTTGTTTTTATTATGAAAATTCATCAAACGAAACATTACAGATATAAGCACATAATCTGACCATACCGTGTTGAACTTTTATGTGGCTGAGTTTGTTGAATAATTTTTGGATCATGACTTCTAGGAAAGAGTGGTGTTGTATGAACTTATGCATGCATGAACTGAATTCGTTTCACATTTCATATTTTGTAATTCAAGTACATGACCTAGCTGTTTGTTTAACAGGTGGAAGGAAGGGTTTGTTTGTCCAAAGAGGCCAAAAATGGATTAGAAATTCTGAAGCGTAGAAGGCTTCAGCGTATGAGATCGGAAACTGGTACCGAGCCTGTAAAGTTAACTAATATGATGGCTCGAAGCGGAGGCGATGCTTTAAAAGCTTCAGCTTCCTGTGGTATTAGATTACAGGGAGGTTCCGACCCAGTTTCTCTGTCCAGTGGTGCTTCACATGAAAAAGATATTTTTTCGAAGCGTAGGGTGGATAAGTTTGAAACAAGTGATCTAGACTGGACTGAGAAAATTCCTGAGTGTCCTGTATACTATCCAGCAAAGGAGGAGTTTGAGGATCCTTTGGTTTATTTACAGAAGATAGCTCCAGAAGCTTCAAAATATGGTATGCTATTTGAACTGATTGACTCTGTATATTTTCTTTTCTTACTATTGTCCTCAAACGTTTGAATTGATTGACTCTGTATTACATTCGCGATTTTGATACGTGTATGGTGGCTGGTATAGACATGCACATGAGTTTGTGCAGCTCACCGCCTGTGTATGAACATTTTGACATCCTTAAACCAAATGCAAGTAATCCCGGGTCGGATGTTAATGTTTGTCTTTTGTTAATGATGCAAAAGAGAGAGATGTTATTGTGGACCTACTGAGACCCATCTAATGCTAACTGACTAAAGATTTAGTGTTCTTTTTTAGTGCTTTTTGGATTGATACAACTGATTTATTTATCCTCGAAAAGTGGTCCCGTCTCTAGTCAGTTCATGTAATATTGACTTTATGCAAAAAACCCTAAACCATTCATTATAGGCATAACTTTTCTTTGCCATCGCCATGTGTTATTGAATAATGTTACTAATCTCTTTCCTGTTTCACGTAATACAGTATCTGTTGGAGAAATATCGTGATTATTTTTTCTCACATGAGTGGAATATGACCAACTTTTCCCTTTATAACCTGCAATGTCATGTTCAGGTATATGCAAGATTATATCCCCTTTGAGTGCTTCTACTCCAGCTGGGGTTGTATTGATGAGGGAGAAAGCAGGTTTCAAGTTCACAACTAGGGTACAGCCTCTTCGTCTTGCTGAGTGGGACAATGATGACAAGGTCACATTTTTCATGAGCGGAAGGTGAGAATTTCTACGAATTGAAATTTTTTATTCATTACTTTATCATGTCTTCAGTTTTTTGAATGAGTTTAATTTTACAGAAATTATACATTCCGTGATTTCGAGAAAATGGCAAACAAAGTTTTTGCTCGTCGATATTGTAGTTCTGGTTCTCTTCCTGCCACATACTTGGAAAAAGAATTTTGGCAAGAAATTGCTTGTGGAAAGACAGAAACTGTTGAATATGCATGTGATGTAGAGGGCAGTGCCTTTTCCTCTTCTTGCAGTGATCCGCTTGGAAGTAGCAAATGGAATTTAAAGGTGTTCATTCTGCCAATCTTTCTCTCTGTTTATCGAATCTGTAGGTGGTTGATATATCTCAGAGTCATTCCATGTTCAGTTTCTAATGCGCCTAAAGTGATGTCGAGTACATGACACAGAAAAAAAGTACACATTAGTGGTGTGCATCTCAACACGGCCCAATCCAACCCTAACAGTAAACACGAAGGCATAAGAGTACTGTTGCCAAAATGCCTTTGGGGCTTTTATTATTATTAAGAGAGAGTGTTTTTCCCCCTTCAAATTGAAGGATCGTTCTGACTTTGTACAGATTGAGTTTACTTGTGCTCCATTTTTTCTCTCTTTTTTTTAACCTCTTATTATTATTATTTATTTTTTCTCTTAAGAGTAATATTCCCATTTGTTCACTGTATGTGGTGACATGCATGTTAACTGATTCACCCACTTTCGTGATTGCAGAATCTTTCAAGGTTACCCAATTCCATTTTGCGTCTTCTGGAAACTGCAATTCCGGTAATGAGACTACTTCTGTAAGCTTCTTTGCATTATTTATAGCCTGTATCCCTTGCTTACTTATGTTGGGTTTATAACAGGGTGTAACTGATCCCATGCTATACATTGGAATGATATTTAGTATGTTTGCTTGGCACGTGGAGGATCATTATTTGTACAGGTATATGTCACTTTTGAACCTCAATAAGGCAACAATGTGTTTCCTTTCATATTCCAAGAATTATTATTAATTATATTCTTATAACTTTTATTTCGTATGGCAGTATTAATTATCATCATTGTGGTGCATCCAAAACCTGGTATGGAATTCCTGGTCAAGCTGCCCTTCAATTTGAAAGGGTAGTCAAGGAGCATGTGTACACGCATGATATCATATCAACTGATGGCGAGGATGGAGCTTTTGATGTATTATTGGGGAAAACAACTTTGTTTCCTCCAAATATTTTGTTGGAACATGATGTCCCTGTCTACAAGGCTGTGCAAAAGCCAGGAGAGTTTGTCGTTACTTTCCCAAGAGCATACCATGCTGGATTCAGTCATGGTAGGCTTTCTATTTTACTTTTCCCCTTCATATTACTATGCCTCTTTGTCTGTCTTATTTTTCTTTGCTTTAGAGAAATGTGGATTTAATACCTTTTTACATTGTAAATATAGGTTTCAACTGTGGTGAGGCAGTCAACTTTGCAATTGGTGATTGGTTCCCTTTAGGTGCTATTGCTAGCCGTCGTTATGCGCTTCTTAACAGGATGCCCCTGCTTCCTCACGAAGAACTTCTGTGTAAAGAAGCCATGCTTCTGTACACAAGTTTAGAACTTGAAGATTCTGAATATTCATCTGCTGATTTGGTCTCCCATCAATGCATTAAGACTTCTTTTGTTAGATTGATGCGCTTTCAGCATCGTGCTCGTTGGTCTTTAATGAAGTCAGGTGCATGCACTGGTGTTTTACCAAACTCCTACGGAACCATTCTCTGCAGCCTGTGCAAGCGCGATTGCTATGTAGCTTACATTAATTGCAACTGTTACATGCATCCTGTGTGCCTTCGACATGGTATGCCTTCTTCTATATGAATAAACTTTATGAAGTCTTGAACTACTCATCTCAGAATTGTATGGAATGTCCTTGAATTGTCCCATTCATAGTGATACATACATATATATTATTTAAGATAAAATATATTTTTCAGGAGCTTAGTTGAAAATTCATATGGATAGTTAAGCAGACTCTTTAACTCAAATCATGTGGTTGCTAATTGTGTTTTTGTTGTCCAATACAGAGGCAAAGTCTCTTGACTTCTCATGTGGAAGCAACCCTATTCTCTTTTTAAGAGAGGAAATAACAGAACTGGAAGCTGCAGCCAGAAAGTTTGAAATGGAAGATGGTATGTTAGAGGAGATAAAAGGGCTTGGTGAAAATGGCGATGACTATTATTCGTATCCATTAATCTCGTCTCAGAGCACAGAAGAGAAAGGATACTCTCGTTATTGTGAGATAAAATTTGAGTTGAATCCTAAACTTACTGGCACAACTCATTATCGGTCACAAGAGCCAGAACCTGGTTCTCATGGTCAGCCCATGTTGAGTTGCGGTGCAAAATGTTCAAGTCCTGCAGTGTCAGATGCTTCCCTTTCATGTGCGGCATCAACTCTTTGTTCTCTTTTAGAGCCTCGTGAGAGCTTATCAGCACCCAATAATGTAAGATATTGCTCTGTTTGTTCAATGTGGCTTCCTTTTTGTATTCTAGTGCATAATGTTCGTTCACTAAGTAAATTTGCTCTGCAGTAGGTTTAAGACAACTTTTAGTGAATTGAAAAGCAATTTTCTGAGTAACCAAGTGTAATGTAGTGTTCATATGTTTCCTGGCAGGTACAGGGAAATGCTAACACTAACACAGGAGCTCTAAATTCTAAAAGGCTTTCTGAAGAATTAGCGCGCAGTACATATGAGTCTTCTCAGTCCTCTCCATCATACAATGAATGTTCTAGTGCGCGCCCAAGAAATTGTAATGGATCAGAGGTTAGGCCTGTTGTGGATCAAGGCAGTGATGATTCTGATTCTGAGATCTTTAGGGTTAAGCGCCGCTCATCATTGAAGGTGGACAAAAGAAGTGTAAATGATACCTCGTCATCAAAGCATTCTGAGAACCAGGTAAACTTCATGGAGACATGTACTTTTAATTTCTGATGCATGCGATTAGTTATCATGATTCTTTGATTTCTGTTTGTGCTGTGCGACTTCACAACTTATGGTTTTCAATTACTGGAAAAAAAGCAGGGTTTTAAGCGACTGAAGAAACTGCAAGCTGAAAGAAGATGCGGGCCATCGGTCCCACAGTATTCTTGCAGCACTGGTGAATCAACTAAGTTTCTTACAACTAGTAATTACAAAGGAGTTTCTGAGAGTGCTCCTATGGAGGGCAGGTTTTCCAGAGGAAGTACCGTCGTCCCTAGAGGAAGTACAATTCCCATCTCTATCAAGTTTAAGAAGTTGGCCAATGAAGAATCGGTCAGTAGACAGCGAGAACACCACAGAAAGGATAGATACCACCAGCTTGAGTCGGGAAAGAGACGGAGGGGACCACCGCCAATAGAGATTGGTCCGAAGCGCCTTAAAGTCAAAGGCCCGTCATTCCTAGGGTCAGAGAGCAGCAGCAGGTTAAGTTAAAGATTAGATTGCTAGGAGGAGGAAGAGCCAACTATCTGGTTGGCCTGCCTACCCTGTAGAGAGAGCATGATCATAGAACCTGACCTTGCTAACTACAACTTCCCATCTTCTCTAACGGGGATCTAACAACACGGGTAAAAAGCTAAAGATTTGATTCTGGGAGCAGTGACAACAAATTATTATTAACCTAGGATAAAAAAAATTCACATTCTTTGTGCAGGCCCTGAAATTGGGGCAATTTGCACTGTTGGTGATTCTTGAGGTTCTCGGGCCGGGGTATTTTTCCATCTTTGGCAGGAGAACCTTCATTCCTGCAAAAGCTTAAACAGAGTAGAGATTGGGTTAGTGGAATTTCCATGTAAATTTGTTTTTGTTAATCAGTCAGCCAGTTGGTTCAATTCTTGTGAGTGAAGTGGGTATTCCCACTCATCTCTCACTACAAGTATTCTCTCGCTGCTTCCTTTTATTATTATTACAGGTTCTTTATTCTTTTTTGTAACCTTGACAACTAGTTGAATAAAATGCAGAGAAAATGCCTCTCTCTCTCTCTCTCTCTCTCTCTCTCTGCGCGCTTGTATTTTAGTTGTTGTTCATGGTTGTACTTCTCAGATTTGGGGTTCCAATGCAAATCGACAGCAGTCTTCGGGTTTTTGTTCTCTCATTTCTTTGGGTTCGAATGTTAAGAATTAATGCGGACATGACATGATCTTCTTCACGCCTCTTTTATGACCAAATTCTTAGCAATACCAAAATGTGGTTTCTTCTAATTCATATGCCTTTGGTTTATCAAGTTTCAATGAGATTTAAGGGGTCCTTGCTTGGGGTGGACTAAGGGGTGAATTCCTCACTGTTTCGAAAAGAGCCTGATGATAGTCGAATTGATCGTCATTGGTTCCTTTGGAACGGTGTAAAGCATATCTTAAGCTATTTTTGTGAAACAACATATATGGGTTTGTTTTATTCAAATGAATTTTCCAAAGGCCCAAAAACTTGTTGGATAATCGGATTCAGATGTATGTATATATGATCCACACGACAATAGGTACCAAAATTATTTTCCTCACGGCTTCGACCCGCCGTCGTTGCCACCTCTTTGAACTATTCAAGACTCTCCTTGTCGTCTAAATTAAAAATCAGAATGAGCTGAATGAATTGATTGGGTTGCACAAGGTTTGGATTTCTGGGAATATTGAAATTCCGTAGTGTATCATATGAAATGAGGGCAGAATTCACACAAATAGCTAAGAACGAAGGCATTTTTTCTCTTGGGAGGCATGGGTGAGTTTTCTTTTGGGTTTAATTTTTCACCTCGACTGTGAGTTCTAATTTTAGGGCAAGCCCAATGGTAGGCTCTAAAATAGGCTCTACAAATGCTGGATGGAACTCCATTTTTAGAGCTTCGGTGGAATCTTTTGGGTCGTAAAGGAATCTTATCAACAATGAAGCTATCTCTATTTGACAGGGCTTCTTCCTATACCTATGAATTTCATTGGACCCAGAAATGATACATTGGAAGAATCTTTTGGGTCTTCCAATATCAATAGTTGATTGTTTCGCTCTATATTTGGAGCTCTAAATGTTTTAATTTTGTAATTTACATGCTAATTTTTTTTTGGAAACTTATTTTGTGTTCATGGATGTTTGTGTTATGTTATTTTTTTCAATGAACATTTCAATAAAAAAAAAGAGTAAAATTTGGATAAGATTATGAAAAATAATATAAATTGAAAGCAGACACAAGGAAACAACAAACAGAAAAAAAAACAAAAACAAAAACAAAAAGTAACAGCATCAACACTTGGCAGCCTAAAAAAAAAGGGTTATTCGTAGCAATGGTCCATCAACTATACCTGTAGTTACAGTTAGTCACTCATTTCAATTATTAGTTGCAGAGGTCACTTAAGTAGGTGTTTTGTTGCACCATTAGTCCCTCTGTCAAACTCTGTTAAATTTTCTGTCAAAAATGAGGGTAAATTCGAAAATTCATCCACAATCCTCCCCTTCCTCCACAATCCTCCATTGCCGCAACAGTCACCACGAAGCTCGCTACCACAACACAACCCACACCCACCATATCTTTGCCCACTACGTCCCCTTCAACACCGACCCTTCCTCTGCTGCCACTGCCGACTCCGAGTCTTATTCCCTCGATGAGATCGTCTACTGATCCAACTTCGGCGGCCTTGATAGAATTTCAAGAACCTTAAGATGGAATTTCAAGTTTGCGCTAAGCATTATTGCCTTTCCAGTTCTAAACCTTCAACACCATAGTCTGTCACGAATTTGCAGATGGAAAAACTACTACAGAGCAACTTTGGTGTGGTTTTGTGTCTTCTTCAGTTTGCTCTAGTCCACGATACTGAGTCTACTATTTCTTTAACCCAGGAACAGTCTTTGCAAGAGCTTTTACACAAATTTGAAGTTGTTTTTCAGCCTCCAACTGGACTTCCTCCTCACAGGACTCATGATCATCGGATTCCTTTACTTGAGGGTTGCAAGCCACCCAATGCACGGATTCCTCCCCTTCAGAAAACTAAAATTGAGAAGTGTGTTCAAGAGTCATAGACTTGATGAAAAAAAGGAGGGTTGTGGATGAATTTTCGAATTTACCCTTATTTTTAACGGAAAAAGTCACAGACTTGACGGAAGGACTAATGGTGCAACAAAACACCTACTTGAGTGACCTCTGCAACTAATAATTGAATTGACTGACCAAACTGTAACTACGGGTATAGTTGAGGGACCATTGCTGCGAATAACCCAAAAAAAATAGAAGCAAAAAGGGGGCTGCCAATGAAAGTAACAAAACACAAGGTCAGCCATTGGATCAGCCAAGGAAAGCAGATCCATGCCAGTAGTCATGGGGACTTGGGCAAGTGAGTGAATGGCAGCACCTAAAGTCGGCTTCAGCTTTCCACATAGTGGGTCCCACTTGGTTTTAGTGGCTTCAATAAGAGCCCTATATATATATATATATATATATATAGGGACTTTCTCTATTGCGAACTCCAAGTGTGCGGACTGGATGCGAACTTCTATTTGTGACCATTAGATGCCTTGTACGCTCTAGATTTAAAACATCATTGAGAAGGGTTTTAGTCTTTTGGTAAGAGCCAAAATTCCCGCGCTTACACCTCCAATCTACTAACCTCTGTTTCCTTCTTCCAACACAACACCTTCTCTTCCCTATGCTTTCATCCCTGGCAATATCACTGCTGCTGCTCTAGGTTATAATATTTTTATTTCTTCTTTTTAACACCTTCTCTTCCATGTGCTCTCATCCCTGGCAATATCATAGCTGCTCCTCCAGGTTGGAATATTTTTATTTCTTCTTCTTCTTCTTCTTCTTTTTTGTTTTTTTTTGCTTTCATTCCGCGCATTCCACCACAAGACCTTCTCTTCCCTATGCATTCATCCGATGCTTTCATCAATTTCTATACTGCTGGGTGGGATTTTTTTATATGACCTTGGCTGATCTGTTGTTTAATTATACTCTGTATTTACCTGACGTTTACAATTACTAACTATATTTCATTTGCATATGAGGATATTGAAGCTAACTATGATCTCGTGATATGATTCAAAGAGTCATGCCTTCTTCGGATGATTTGCAAAGTTTGTATACAGGATACCTTCAAAAGTTTAGAAAAAATATAAACAGATAAATTATTGAAATAGAGGGTCCCAAGACTCCATTACAAGACAAAGGAATTGAAGCTGCAACAATAATTGACGTTGTGGGTACAAGTATAAAATTTCAGCCTCATACAAAATTATAGCTTGAACAATAAAGAACTAATCCAGCCACAACTACATTCAAAGTTCAATTTCCACGACTATTACTTCACAGAACGATTATTGATATTGGGTGAAATATTTTCTGCATCCTTGCACAAAGAGGACCTGCATAAGAAGTAAGAAATTATATATTTAAGATAAAATAATCGAATAAATTGAAATAAAAAATTTAACTTAGTTTCTTACTGATTAATGTGAGTTGTACAAGTTCTTCGGTCATGTCCTGTTTGTCCACACCCATGGCAATGACGTTTACTCTTATTCATTGCTTTCTCTTTTCCTCCCTTCAATCTTTTACCGCAGCCCTTCGCCCTTACTTGAAGAGGGTCATTCAAATGTGGTGAAAGATAACTACTAGTTGCATTTTCATCATTGCCTCCACATATATTGTTACTACTACACACCACAAAATTTAACTTTTCTCGCATACCTTCAAAACTTTCTAATAGAACTTTACTTGCCTCTTGAGATACCAAGGCACCATCAATAAGCTCAAAAGCAAGTTTAGACAATCTTGTTTGCCTCATTAATAATGAATTATCACCACTTTCAGTTATTTGCCTTCCACCCTCTTCCACAACTATTTCAGATTTTGCTGCTCATGTCCACCTGTTTAATATATATTTATTTGACAAATACTCAATTTGTTTCATTTTCATGTATGCCAACACATGCCTGCATAAGATTCCTTCAAATTCAAATTTCTTACATATACATGAAGCATAGTCTGCAACTTTGTCAACCATGACTTCTCGCACCTTCAACTTGAAGCTACCATCTTTTTCCCTCTCCATTACCTTATAAAAGCATAAATTGTCATCCTCTCTTGCAAGTTGAAGCACACATGCCAAACATTTCCACAACTCTTTTTGAAACTTGTAGAAAATTTTACGAGTATAAATGGTAGCCATTTGCTTCTCCATTATCAATGGAGATTTCAACATAGGCTGCTCATTGATATCAACATGATCAGCAATTATCTCTTCATGACGTTGTTGGGCAAGCGCTCTATTAAACCGTAATATGAAATCCATTAAAGAATTTCTTTTTGAAATATAGAGCTTGAAAAATGCATGAACACCTTCTACTCGTTGGCTACTTGACATTCCTGCTGAAAAAATATCTTTCACATATGCTGGCACCCATCTTGAACGTATTCTATAGATTGAAGATAGCCACTCATCATCATTTAGTTTACCTTTGTTGACCACATCCATCCACTTTGACTCAAATTCTTCTTTTGTGTCTGATTCCCACACACAACTTTGAAGTTCTCTATTTTCATCCTTATAAATGCAAGTGTTTATCTTTTGAGAAAACTTATCCAGAATGTGCCAAATGCAATATCTATGAAACACACCTGGAAAAGCTTGTGAAATAGCATTTCCCATCGCTGGATCTTGATCTGTAATAATTATTTTGGGTGGACCAGCAGGCATAGCTTTCTTAAATTGCTCAAACAACCAAAGAAAAGATTCAGTGGTCTCATTGCTCAAGAACCCACAACCAAAAAGAATAGTTTGACCATGGTTATTAACTCCTACCAATGGGGCAAATACCATACCATACCGATTAGTATTGTAAGTGGTATCAAATACAACCACATCACCATAAAACTTATAAGCTCTTCTAGATGTTGGATCAGCCCAAAAACAATGTTTAAGCCTATCATCATCGTCAGCCTCTATCATAAAAAAGAAAGATTCATTTTTTGCTTGCTCACCAATAAAATGCTCACTCAACATCTGTGCATCATGCCCCTTCATCTTTCTCTGCAATTGTCTTTTGTAGTTATATAAATCTTTCTTTGTATATCCAATGTTTTGCATCCCTCCTGCTTGCACTTCAAGAAGACTAAATTGTTGATGTGTTGGGATATTAACATCACCAAATCGTTGTGCCAATGCTTTATTAACTTCAGAAATTTTACGATGCGATCTCAACAAATGTACCATTTGAGGGGCTGTCAAAGCATGATTATGGCCCTCCACAAAGTTAGAAATTATGTATTTTGTGCCTTCTCTTACCTTCAAAAACGCAATCTTAGCCTTACACCCACTTCGTACTACACCTCGCCTCCTTTCACTTCCATTAGAAACTTCTTTGGAATATACTCCCTCTTTGTAGCACACATATTCTTTTCTCAAGATCTCCTTAGAAGTTTTACTCTTTTGCTGACAATAACTTCGAACACTAAATCCCGCTTGTTTTGCATAGTTGTTATAGAAGTTATAGGCATCCTCAAGTGATTCAAACTCTTGACCAATTTTTGGTACATGATGATCTTCTACTTGAGGATTGAAAAATAAATATGAATTATTTTCATTAGTATCTTCCATAAATTCATATGTCCCGAGTTCTTCGTGTGGGCTTCCCATCTCTAAAGTTTCATCTATTAAAGCAAAAAGTAACAAAAATATTGGTCAATGGGACATTGGTAAAACAATGGCAAAGAATACTGTAGCAATGCTTAAACCAAAAGCCAAACTCGTAAGTGCATATCAAACCTGAATTAGATAAATTTTCAACCATAAAACAAAATAGAATAACTGAGCCAAAACCATACAAAAACAAAGACCAATTAGTAGCCAAATCCATATAACCCATACATCAGTGCTTTTTGTTTTTCCGATTCCAACCTTCGTGATTTCCAATGAAACCCAAATATTTTTAGTAAACAATCCCATACCATAAGAAAATCAGAAAACTTTGTATAAACAAAATGGAAATATATGCATAAAAAACAAAAAAAAAAAAAAAAAAAAAAAAAAAAAAAAAAAAGAAGAAATAAAAATATTCCAACCTGGAGGAGCAGTTATGATATTGCCAGGGATGAGAGCACATGGAAGAGAAGGTGTTAAAAAGAAGAAATAAAAATATTATAACCTAGAGCAGCAGCTGTGATATTGCCAGGGATGAAAGCATAGGGAAGAGAAGGTGTTGTGTTGGAAGAAGGAAACAGAGGTTAGTAGATTGGAGGTGTAAGCGCGGGAATTTTGGCTCTTACCAAAAGACTGAAACCCTTCTCAATGATGATTTAAATCTAGAGCGTACAAGGCATCTAATGGTCACAAATAGAAGTTCGCATCCAGTCCGCACACTTGGAGTTCGCAATAGAGAAAGTCCCTATATATATATAGGTGGATGCAACCCTCTCGCCAGGCTTGGTTTTTTAAAGACCCAACTTACTTATATTAGGGATGACTTTTTGAACCTAGGTGCTACCTTTTAAAGCTCAAGGGTGGTGCAACCCCATTTAGAGCCTCCATTAGGCTTGCTCTTAGGACATTTTGGTATGTGACTTTTACTTTCAAGATTTTCTAGTCAATACCTATGGTTTGTTTCAAGAATTTACAGAGTTATGGTTTGATTCATCAAAAGGACAATCAATTTTGATGGACTTGACTTGTTTTTTTTGGCTACCATAAAAGTTTAGGGGGAGATTGGTTACTCTCACCACTAGCGCCAAGCATACCTACAACCTCGAATCAGAATGACTTACGATGGACTTGACATTCAAAGTTTCATTTTGTGTGTATTTCTATCAAGCCTTCCTTTGTTATGTAGCTTCCTCTTTTTTTTTCTTTTTTTTTGTGGGGTCAATAAAGAGATATATTCTTTGAAACTCCAAAAAGGGAGATGTAAAATACAAACATTAGTCACCAAAGAGACTGAAAGCAAGAACATCTAAAGATAAAAAATCAAGGGAGTTGATTTTCTCACTTCTCTTTTGTCCACTTACACTCCCTTATTTAAAATGGTATGTTAAACAAAATGGAGTGTAAGTGGACAAAAAAGAAGTGAGAAAATCAGAATACAATAACACTGCAAATTCCATGCAATTGAGAAACTTAAACATCGTTTTTTTTGATCAAATAGAAACTTCATTAGATAAGCTTTAACGGTACAATCAAAGACATCTAAAATACCAATCCTAAGAGGGTAACAAACTAACATGCTAAAAGCAAAACTAACATAGACAAAAGTCGCACTAAAACTACTAGTCCACATCACCACAATTAACCATAAGCCCAAACAAAGCCCACAAACCCAACATAAACAAAATCCTAAAACAACCCATGAGCCTAGACGAACTTTATCACCACCACCTGAAGAAGCGCCGTCGCGGCCACACCCACCGCCGCATTCATAATAGATTTGGGAAAAATATGATTTCCAGCGATTTACCTGCTCATAAGAGCGAACAAATAAATGAACACAACAATCTTGCCAAAGAACAATTGGGTGATTTGCAGCAACCTCCGTCAAAGACGATGTAGAATCAAATTTAGAGAACATGAGCGGCATTAGGGAGCGGGTTTTGGGAGCATGATTTGATTGAGAACATAGACTAAAAGTGGTGATGGGGAACTTCAATCTAACCATGGCTTAGAAGAAACCACCACAAGGGACTTTTTATTCAAAACACCCCAGTGGACTTATTAATTAACCTAAAAGGAAAAGACGAGAAGAAGAGGGGGAGGAGGGGGCAGTGATGCTTTCTTCCTCCTCCCCCTCTATGGAGTTTTCTTTTAGGATTCACAGAAGGAGAGAGCGGCTAGAATTTTAGGAAAAAAACATTGTTAATTTTTCTTTGATTCACATATCACTTTAACAAAAAAAATAATGAATTGATAATAAATAAATAAGACCAATAGAAGGCAAATACGGTTGGGTTAGGACTTCGTTGTTTTGTTATCAACATGGGTTCAATTTCCAAGCTTTCGTTGAGGAAGAGGAAAATATTAGATCTACAGAAGTCAAACAAAAACATAATGAAATTTTGAAGAAAAACAAGTCATGATCAATCTTTCTTTTTTTTTATTTAAATTTTTTGCCAACCGATAGAAACATTATTGATATAAGTTGAAAGGCTCAATTACAAAAGCCACATAGGGTAACCAATCACTTGAACCCGTACTTAGACTCAAACAAGGGCCTAATACATGTTTTAATGAGGTACAAAAGATAATCATGGCTACTGTACGCCTCATGTTAATGGGGTACCAAAAAAAAAATCATGGCTATGGTACTGCCCCAATCACAAATCTAGCAAAAAATCAGTCACATGGCTTTACTCTAGTGACATTTTTTTTTCAAGAAAAGCCAAAAACCGAGCCAGGACACATTTTGGAGAAATTGAACACATACCAACATAAATAATGAAACAAAAACTCTCCTAAGGAGAGACCGAGAAAACTAACTTAAAACCTAAAGAAAAATTAAAGCTCTTAGTCACTCGGATTAAGCCCGCACCAAATCAAGGGAGGACGAAGATGAACAGATTGGCACAAATCAGACATAGATCCACCTCAGCAGCCCTATCACAACTTCGTCATCAAGAAAGCCAAAAAGAAGGGAGAGAAGGGTATGAGGAGAGGGATGGTGGCTATTGACCCCCAATCTTTGTGTTTGTGGGGGATAAGAAGAACGTGAGTAGGGATGGAAACATGCCATTTCGAGGCCAGGTATGGTGATAAGAATTTTTGGGGAGTTCCCATCCCCGTCGGGGGGATTTTCCCCAAACCTACCCCAAATTCCCAACTTTTTTTGCATAAAAAAAAAAAAAAAAAAAAAAAAAATCCTACATTATAATACTAATTTCTCCTTAAACTATCAACCACATTTAATTGACCTAAAAAATTCAACTTACTCACAATCATCTCAATTCAATTTGAAAAAACTAAATAAATATTAAATTATAACAATACATAGTTATATTATATTTATATTACATAAACATAAATATATTACTTATTCGGCCGGGTTTGGGAATGAGGATAACAATACCATCTCCACCCTTTACCCAAATGAGGATTTTTAAAATTCGGGGATCCTAGTACGAGCCATACCCGCCCTCGAATTTTCCTTGAAATCTCCCCCCATTAGGGATAGGGACCCGATAAGGACCCAACACGACAACGGTTTTTTGCCATCCCTAAGAGCATTTCTAGCAAGGGGACTTGGGGGAGGGCTCGCCGGGGGGGGGGAGGGGGGTGTGTGGGGCCTGGGCGCAAGGTGGGACCCAGTAGCCTGGGCTGGACCGAGGGCAAGGTTGGCCTGAGCTCCAGCCCTTGTTTTGGTGCTGACGTCAGCGCTACAGTGCTACATCGCTACAATACCGCTAAGTCCACGTGTTGCGCTATGGGCTCTCTGATCAGATTTTTTTCTCCAAACCAATGGCAACCAATTTTTGTGCAATAAAAAAATGAAAAAAAAATCGATTTTTTTTTTCTTTCTATAAATACCAACCAATACTCTTCACTTTTAACACCAAATTCTCATACATTTTCTTCTCTTTCTACTATTTATTCACTTTCTACTCAATATTTTTTTCACTTTCAAGTTTTATTTTTCTCTATCATATTATGGCTTCTTCTATTGAAACCGGAGGGGCATGGAGCATGATATCTTATCCAAAAATTTTAAATTTGAAATTTATCTGAAATTTGAATTTTGAAATTTATACTTGTTGCATTGCCAATATTTTCTAAAGTTTCTTGCATTTCTAATTTTTTTATTATATAGATTATGCAAGCACAAATGAATAGTATTGACACGTAGGAACCCAAAAATCTTATCCAAATTAATTGTTTAAGTGAAAAAAGTTGTGAAAAAAAAATGAATAGTATTTGCCATGGCAAAGGGCAATTGCTGAAAACACACTTTGCTGGGGTGCTAGGGCAGCCACTATTCATATGAATAGTAGTTGCCCTAGGGCTCCCCTTGCCATGGCAAGAGGCAAACTGCTGGAAATGCTCTAAACACGAACTGAACTTGGGATAGAAACTCTTGGGTCTTAAATTTTAAGGGCATTTGAGTATATTCAAATGAATTTTTTGCTATATTTAAAAGTTAAAATTAAAATAAAATTAAAACTAACAATTATGAAATTGGGCTCTAAATATTAACGATTAAACTCTTCAAACACACTCTCATCCTATTCTTTACTTCTAAATATTTATTATATTTTCATTCACAATTTCAATTTTTTCTCTCTCTTAATTTTCATAAAAAAAGTTCAGCGATAATTCAAACATGTTTCAATCGATATTCATATTTCCGTGATTAATTCAGGCAAAGGGTGTCGTTGAAGTTGTTATATTCCTGTGTCCTTGTCCCGGCTTCCGCCTCCTGGTAGAAAAGCAGTAGAGCTCTAGCATATGATACATAGATAGAGTCATAGAGACGTAGAAGCTCGCAGCGTGCAAAGAAAAAAAGAGGAAGAGAGTTTGATAAACAAAGAAGAAAATGATGAGCGCTCAGCCTCAACCGCCGAGTAGTATGATGTCTCAGGCTCAAGGGTATCAGCATCATCATCATCAACCAACTTCAGTGGAAGAGGTCAGAACCCTTTGGATTGGGGATTTACAGTATTGGGTCGACGAACACTACCTTACTACCTGCTTTGCACACACCGGCGAGGTCTCTCTCTCTCTCTCTCTCAGTAGATATAATATCTATTAGGGTTTTGCTGGGAATTTTAGAGTTTATAATCGGAATTCAGTTTTAATAAAAATGGGTATTTCTTGAATTTGGTTTTGCTTATTCTAGTGTGTCGTTTGAATTTGGATATGTATGCATATATGCATATAGACTCTACTGATGTAAGACTAGTCTTTGATTTTAAAATTGTTTGTTAGGTTATTTGAATTATGGTTATTGATAATGCAAGGATTTTGTGAATACGTATTTTGGGATAATTAATAGGTACGGTGTGGGCAAGGCATTGAGCAGTCTACAGGCAACACAAATTTATGAACTAAGTGCTGAGTAATACTGTTTTAAGCTCAAGTAGCGAGGGGTGGGTGAGGAAATGGGTTAGGATTAGGCTGGGTCAATGGTTCAATTCCCTTCCATTGTAACCAAACAACATAAACAGTTAATGTGGACGAGTCATGTATCACTATTAATCAAGTCATACGTGGTTGGAGCACTGTGAATAACTAGATGGTTGATAGTCCATTCTTGTAAAGGCCGATCAAAGCTTGCAAATATGATTTCTACTGTTCCATTCAAATTTACGAGATTAAACTCATGGTTATTTATAGAAGGGAGTGAGGCAGTTCTTCTGATATTAAACTTTTTGGCCCATTGGAGGTGTTTTGAACCTATGGGTTTCAAATGAGATGTAGCCCTCTCCCATCCCATAAACCCTGATGGATGTCAGATTCTATCCCTAGTTCATGATGCCAAGATAATTTACCATCTATTCTAGCTGGAACCTTCTTCTTTGTTGCTGGCATAATCTTCACATAATCTTCTGGAAACTAGATATGTCTTTGCTTTGTGTTAGGTCTTAATATATGGAATTTTGATTGTAAACACTGTGAAATATGACTTAGATGAGTGAGAAGAGAAATAACAATGTACAACATTCATAGGCAAATAAAATGTCATAGAGTAGACCATTTTCAATCTTGCAGCTGATTAACTTGTGTTGAATGCATTCCTGCCTCACATATGGGTTTTGTTTGATTGTTATGTCCTCTTTTCCATGCTTGCGTAATCTTTAACTACAACCAATTGTTTAACCAAAAAATAAAAAATAAAAAACTATAACCAATTGGGGCAAGTAAGTTCCATTTGTTTTTACTTGCATTGGTATTCCTTCAGGAAGATGGAATGTTGACTCATCTTTCCGATCTTTGGTCCGTTATCTGTGAATTATGATGCAGTAATTACTAATTACTGCTCTTGCTTCCTTTTTTCCAAAATTTTGTGGTCTATTGTTGAGACTTAATGATATCTGAATGATCCCAAAAAAGATTTTAGGCCATGTATGATTGTTTTTTCTCTTCTTGCAAACCCTATATTAGACAAACCAGTTGATCCCATTGCAGAGCCATATGAAATAATTTGAAATACTGGTGTACCTACTGAAGTATATAATTTTTGTTTGGTTTGTGGTTCATGAAGAATTAATACTTGTGATATGCTCCAAAAAGGAGACATTATACTTCTTTGGCTCAACTGTAGTGCTTTGCAAAGGGATCCCAAGAGCGCTGTTGATATATATATATATATATATATATTGTTACCATAATTGAACCCTTGACCTAGCTTAATCCTAGCCCATTTCCCTATCCACTCTCACAACTTGAGCTAACTCAAGGGGGTTAGTGCTGATCATATTTTGTTTCTGACTTAATAAGTTTGGATTAGGTTGCTGCAAGTGATGCGGGCTGGGCCAAGAATTTATTCTTTGCTGTTTGAGGTTTATTTCAGTGTTGGGACAAATAACTGGGCGATACCCATTGGTAGTGTGTGGTTTTGGATTCTCTTGGGATTTGTTTGGAAGAAAGAAATAATAGTCTTTCATGAGAAGCTGAAGGAAGTAGATTTTCTGTGAGAACAAAAAAGAAAAAAGAAAAAAAAAATTATGGCTGGTCAGCATAGATGGACATCTTATCCATCTTTTGTTCTAATTATTCTTCTATGGTTAAATAAAAGTATATGTGTTTCATCCAAAGAGTTTTATGTATGTCTTATTTATTTTAAACAAAGTATGCAGTTCTATAGCAGTGTGCAGAAAAGAGATTCCTGGTGATAAGAGATTCTATTATTTACTTTTGGATGATTACTTTATTCAGGTGATTTCAATAAAGATAATACGTAATAAGATCACTGGCCAGCCAGAGGGTTATGGGTTTGTGGAATTTGTTTCTCATGCCGCTGCGGAAAGGGTTCTGCATGCTTACAATGGGACACTAATGCCTGGAATTGAACAAAATTTTAGATTGAACTGGGCTTCGTTTGGTATTGGGGAAAGACGCCCTGATGCTGGCCCTGAGCACTCTATTTTCGTAGGGGATTTAGCCCCTGATGTTACAGATTTTATGCTGCAAGAAACCTTTCGAACTCAATATTCTTCGGTTAGAGGTGCCAAGGTTGTGACTGATCCGAACACTGGACGCTCAAAGGGATACGGGTTTGTCAAGTTTGCAGATGAGGCAGAAAGGAACCGTGCTATGACAGAAATGAATGGTGTTTATTGCTCAACTAGGCAGATGCGTATCAGTGCCGCAACACCAAAGAAAACCACCGGTTTTCAGCAGCAATATGGTGCAACAAAAGGTAAGGTAATATCATTTTATGAATCAATATAGAGATATGTTCAAGTTGCGGCCAGAAAGACTTGCTCCTTTTCTTTTCACTTATTATGCTTCCAGTATTCTCTATATTATCTTGATAATGCTCTCTTGAAAAAGTCTATTTACCCTAACTCAAAGATGCACTTACCTGTGGATTTTTCTGGCAGCAGTATATCCTAATCCAGCATACACTACGCCAGCAGTTCCCGTGCTTCCAGCAGATTATGATGCAAACAACACTACAGTAAGTCTGACATTCTTAATTGTATTTGTTTTCGTTAAGAACTTTTTTTTTTGGGTTTTGTGTCTAATATTTTATTGTTTCTATTCATATGGTTATGTCTAATGCAGATTTTTGTTGGTAACTTGGATCCTAACGTCACGGAGGAGGAACTGAAGCAAAGTTTTATGCAGTTTGGAGAGATTCCCTATGTCAAGATTCCTGTGGGCAAAGGATGTGGTTTTGTACAGTTTGGGACAAGGTTTGTTTAGCATTTAAGCCATCACTTGATTGTCCCATTTTCTTTTTGGTAATAGTATTTCATCCATCTATTTGTTTATATAAGAAGAAAGTTCTGTGCATTGTTCTCTCTCTCTCTCTCTCTCTCATCCACTAATTTCGCAAAACATGGGTAAGTGGATTTAGAACGTTGGCTTATTTAGGTTAGCCCTTGTTACATTATCCTTTGCTTAAAGAAAAGGTGTTGCATAAGTATGAAGGAAGGAGGCGAGAAAATGTTGCAATGTAGAAAGGACTAAAGCTTGATTTATCTTTGTCAGGCCTTTTCTCCTTCCCCCAAGAAAGACAATGCTACTTTTCTCTTTAGTTGTTTATTGGTTTCACTTCTGTCCATATAGGGCATCTGCTGAAGAAGCTATCCAAAGGATGCAGGGAATGATGATTGGTCAACAAGTAGTCCGCATTTCTTGGGGCAGGAGCCCAACAGCTAAACAGGTGATTGCTCTTTTAGATGACTTGTCTATATAGAATGCTAGTTTGTCTTCAACCATAATGATGTTTTTGCTTCACGTTTTCCTTCTAAGAGATGGTTTCCATTTTAAAAGACAGGAATATGTGAATGGATGAAGTGTTTGAAAAATTGAGATGCAATGCTTTTGATTTGGGAATAGGCTGCTCTCCACTTTCCATGGAAATGGAGAGGTCTTTGTTAAATCTGCACAAACATGCAGGGCTCCCTTGTATTGAGGCGGCTTTATCTGTGCTTACAAGTTTGACTTCCCTCTCCATTTGATTTGTTAAATAAAGAGGAGCCATATATCCTTTGACTTGAAAGTTAATATTTCGTCTTAATAGTAAGAAGGAACAGCGAGAGATTGGAGGTTCTTAACTAAGAGCTTACTAATTGTTATCCTGATAAACATATTGTTTGTATATGCATTACTACAACTTTGCCTAGAATTTAGATGCTTATGGTTGATACGTAAGATGCTTAGCCTTACTTACCTAATGCATCGAGAGTTGCGTTGTATACAAAACAAACTCTTGTACTAGAATATTTAATAACTAGAGTATGGAAAGTATAATATGCATAAAATGGATAGAAAAAACACATCACTTCAAGCAAGTATCATTGCTATTGTTTTAATACTTAGGGTTTTAATACTAATCTATGGAAAAAAGGAAAAAAATTAAATGCTATGTATCACTTTAAAGTCGAACTTCTATATCAACTTTGATGAATTATTTGATTTCACCATGAATAGAAAGTGTTACTTAAGGTGAGAAATTTTTTAGTTAGATAATTACGGATCTATGTTTTTCTTAACTAAAAATTGAAGTTATTGATTTCAAAATATACTTTAATTATGAAGACAAGAACAGTAATAGTAGTAAATTAATATAATTTTTGAAAAATAGGAGTATAGAGGGGAGGGAGGGATACAGTGGTGAAATTAAAAGAAGGGCTAAAAAGGGAAAAACTTTATCTAAAGTGACATAATAAGTTAGGGTGCTTAACACATTTGTGTTTATGTATATAAGATAGATTTAAAACTGATTGGCGCCCGTCATATGAAGGGGGTTAAAGCTTATGGAGATGCGCAGGGAAAGCTTTGCTATGAATCGTCTGGAGTGAAAGAGAGTATAACTGTTTTTTAAGAGAAAGAAGAAGAGTTCAAAATACTTTTGAGGAGAATAGTGCATTCTTCAATATCATTGCCTTTGATATCACCTGTTTTCAAAGAATTCTTTGAAGCTCTCTGTTTAGGGATGGGAAGAGTGTTGTTTTCTACTGATTTCTTGTGTTGTATGATATATTTTGTTCTATTAGCATAACATGGAGGTGGATTGCTGGTTCTCGCTTCATTACTTTGTACTTTTCCTCTATTAATTTTTTTTCTTGTTATATAGATACAAAAAATGTGTAGGGTAGTATTTCAAGTGTATTTTATTATATAACTGTTGCTCTACAAAATGTAGATTTTTATTTTTCATGCATTAGATATAAAAACCTTGATGGTGTAAAATAATTTGGAAAAACCACAAGTTATGTTTGACAACTTAATATGCGATCAACATCTTTGATTGAAGGTATTAATAGAGTTTATTCTTAACTTTTAAAGATATGAAGATTATTAAATCAAGGCATGACTTAACAGATTTTTATTAAATGGGTCTTAGGACTCTGAACAAATATTTTAGGTAATTTTGAACTCTACTTGTGGAGTTGAGAATACCATAAATAAATAACATGTGAGTTCTCTCCCTCTTTTTGTCAGAGGGGTTGGGATGGAGGAAAGAGAAATAAGAGAAATGTTTTCAGTGAGTAGGATGTTTATGACATTTGCACTTTTGTATGTAGTTGAGATAACCATATGCCTTCCTAATACTGTGCTGGAAAGTTTGTTTCATACACTCACAGATGCATAAAAGATACATTTATAGTTGGATGCCTAACCTGACAAACTGTCTTATTGTAGGATGTACCTGGTAGCTTTGCTCAGCAAGTAGATCCAAGCCAATGGGCTGCATATTATGGTTATGGACAAGGCTACGATGCCTATGCTTATGGGGCTACCCAGGATCCATCATTATATGCATACGGTGCATATGCTGGTTACGGCCAATATCCTCAACAGGCAGGCTTTATAAATTCTATATTATGATGGATAAACTTGTGTCTTAGTTCAAAATTCGGAGTCGAGATCAGATGAAATACATATCGTCATCAGAAAGCTAAGAGGATGAGCTATAAGAGTTTCCATTTTATTGCTCATTTTATTTATTCTCTTTTTTGGAATTTTTACCCTTCCCTTCTCATTGTGTGTGTGAGTCACAACTAGTTATCAATGGCTTGCAATCTTATTTTCTTTTCTTCTTTATAAATCAAAAATAAAAAATATCAGTAAAGAGGACGGAAGAGCAATTTATTATAGATAAATAAAACCTCACATGCCTACAATTTATCTGAACTTTTCCTTTTTTTTATATTATAGAATTTTCGGCTCTCTCAGATATACAATTCAGCTCTGTAATACATTTCCTGCATGTATTATGGAGATTGATTAGACTTTGTAGTTTGTAATGACTACTTCCGAATGCCTTGAGAAAGTGAAGGATGTGGTAGTTTAAGGATTGTAACTTGTTAGCTTTTATTTGAATATGTTTTTTCGTGCTTTGTTTTCAGGTTGAAGGAGTTCAAGATCTTGCAGCTATGGGAGGTACTGTCCCCTCCGTGGAACAGAGGGAGGAGTTGGATGATCCCTTGGCTACACCTGATGTTGATAAGTATATCTTTTCACCTTTTCAGTTAATGCAGCATACTTTAAATGAATTACATTTAGTAAATCTAAAGTTGAATGAGTTAATAAAAGGTCAAATGTTCAACCATTATGGAAATATTCATAGAATGTAAAAATGGCCTCACATGACAAACAAACATACTTCTGGGTGAAATACAAAGACATTTTGTATGACTTGTCTTTTTCTCAACACAATTTTTATTTTGAGTCTCACATTAATAGTTCTGATAAGGCAAGATAACAAATACTCCCTACTTCCAAAGATCAAAAGTTGTGAATTGTAATTTCAGACTCTTGGCAGCTTTGGTGTAAAGAGGAAAATATCATACTTAATGCACTCATATACAGGCATTTGACTTGTTTTCTTCTCTGGTTGATTGATAGGTTAAACGCAGCTTACCTCTCCGTTCATGGAAGGGCCATCTTAGGCCATCCGATGTGGCTGAGAACATCATCCTTTACTCAGCAAGCTTAGTCAGGGTTAGCATAATGTCATGACATTAGTTTGGTTGGGATTGTCTCAATTTTTTAAGAGATAGACATGATAAATGCAAGAGAAGATGCAGTCAGATGTGCCTCACATTCATAAACAATGGATATAGTGGGTGTAACTGAGGCTGGGAAGAGTATTGTGGCACTGCACTTATTTTATTATTCTGTAGGAGTTAAGTCCCTCTGATTTTCCAACCAGAGGCTGGCGATTTGGATCTCTCGGTACAAAACTATGTTAAGTTGGAGACCTGGTGCCTATGACAAAGGTCTAGGTTTTTGTCCAAATGAAACAAAAATATCACACAGACGCCCCGTTAAGATTTAATCATAACAAACTTTAAAGAAAAGGAAGAGGCCCTAACGGAAATTTTCTAGCACCCCTCTTCCTCTCTGTGTCTCCTCTTTATTTCTCTGCCTAAAAGTCTCTGACTTTGTTTTTCTTCAATCATTTAAAAGAATAATTTACTATTTAACATTCTCGAAAGTCTATTCTTGATTCGTGCATGAGTTGTAAAGTATTTTCAAGATTTCTATTCCTCTTCCCAGAATGCTCAGTTTGATATGTTAGTTCATGTTCATGTTCTAACCAACTGAATGAACTGTTACCGACGGGCTGAGTCTTATTTTACTTCATTTTTTAAACCAACTCAATCAACTATTTAAAACCTGTTTTTGGGTTGACAATTTACCACATAAATTATTGTCCTGATGAGAATTGCTATCCCACTAAGCATCGACATTTGATCTAATAGACAGGGCGGGTTGGGGGAATCCATCTTGATTAAACCACCCCCTCCGTAGGATCCCGAGCTTCAATCGGAAAGCACTGCAGCTGTAAAAACTCGTGAATCGTACGCGGAGTATCTCTCAAAGACCTTCGCGGACACACCAGGGAGCCATCAAAGATTGCCACCCATCTGTTTTTCCATATACTCCAACACGTGTAGGCAATTTGGGCTAAAAGCCAACGACGATCAAGGGCCAAGCTTTGAAGAGAATCCATCGTTCTAATAAACCAGTCACCCATGGTTGACGAATACCCCTTGTCGACTTGAAGTCATCTCCTGCCTTCCCATTAACAATAATAGCAAACTCCACCCAAGAGATGCACCTCATAACCATCATTACCCAATTCCGAGCAAACCCCATTTTGAGCAAGACGGCCTTGACAAAATCCCACTCATCCGATCATGGGTGTCTAGCCCTCAAATCACCTTGGAAATTGGAAATAGAAATTGACTTGATTTTGAAATCTGATAAAACTAAACGAATCGAAATTAGTTACCTCCTTCCCTTGGTTCAAATTTGAAACAATTCCATTCAAGTAGTCCTGCTGGATATTATTGTGTTCATTTGTTTTCAAGAGACACCGGATATTGCCTTTAATTTACTTTTCACCATTTTATTTTTTTTGACAACTCGTGGCTATTGGTTGTCCGAATCACAAAAGCACATGTTTTCAATCATTGTGGAAACTCAGTAAATTCAAGCAGCTTTGATTAAGAAATCAGAATCTAGTATATAAATATGAGTAAGATGCATGGAAAATCAGCAGCCAAGTGGCGCAAATGCAACCTTCCTATGATAATAAAACTAAGCACCCTGAGAAAATGCTTGAAAAAATAATTACCCCAAGGGCCAAGACTTCTATGATCACTGCATACTCTGGCAAACAAATTTTACAACACACGCTCCACTACTATACATGAATGGAACAGAGAAGATCACCGGAAAGAGCAAAGAGCTATCTCTAATTCTCATTTGTAGGATTTTTTTCCCCGCCATATGCCTCAAAACTGTCTGCATTGTGAGATTAAAATTGCTAGAATATGTGCAACCACTTCTCTCGAAACTTCTGCAGCCAATTTACAGGGAATTGGGTTATTGCTTCTCCTTGAGATACCTGCATGCGTTGTTTGGCAGCAGAAATTCCAGAATGTTTCAGTCCTCGACAAAGTTCCATGCCATCTACCTGATCAGACTCCGTTATCGGATTCTCTGGTTTTACTTTTATCTTAACGGGTTTACCAAGAAGTGACTTATCTTCCATTCTTGCAATTTCAAGAGCTCTTGCACATACAGGAAAACCTTGATCATCCCAAGACTCCAAAATTACACCGGAGCCCAAGCAAGTTCTTCCCTGGTAGAAGGCTGCAAACTGCCCAGCTGCCAGGCCTTGATCATCTTCAGATAAATGGACAACTGCAACATCTTCATGACCATATGCACCAGGTTCCATTATTAAGCTACAATTACGAAAACCAGGCCCATGTCTAACCTGAAAGGTTTGAAACATTTCAGCTTCTTTTCACTAGGATTCTAAACAGTAAAACCACAAACCATATAACATGATTCAAAGCTTTCCTTGTATCACCCATCCTCGCAAGACTTATCAACCAGCCGTGACACATTAATCCACATCTAGTTAATACAACTTGATTTAAGACCTTATGTGATGAATGTCGGTCCAATTTGTTGTAAATGCTTCCAAGCGGAAGTTCTGACTTTGATACCAAGTGAAAGAGAAAAAGAAAACAACTTATACGAGTGGGAAGTTTTCTATGTCATGGTCAAGAAAGTCATTACTTGTGAGACTGCCACAGACATAAAACTCTGTTTCTCAAAACTCAAAAGAAAAGAAAGGACAAGATCAACCAAAAGTTATAAATTAAAAAAAAAGGGAAATGAAACAAAAAACATGTAAAAACTCTAGGCGACAACCGTTTATTTCATACATTCATTTGTGCAGATAATATTTCTTTCTTCTCTTTAGTGAGACAGATAATACCTCAATAAAAAATATTTATACCACATTAAATGTCCACATTGTGGACCACATCTCTAGTAGAGGTGGACCCACTTGTGGTCTAGAATGTGTTCAATATGTATGTGGTACATGTAGCATCACTTGATAATATTGAGAGTTTGAGTTACCCAGAACACTCATCAGAAAAATAATAGCATTGCATTCTGAAAACTAATATACAAAAAAATCTATAACAGGAGTAACAGATCGATTTTAAATCCTTGTACCTTGCACTGTAGCTGACTGATCTGGTTTGGGGGAAAACCATTTAACCATTTCAAGGAGCCAACACGAAACAGGCGCCTTCTTTTGTCAACCGAAAAGTAATTTCTTGACACAAACACTACATTGTTTTTTATATCCTTCTCAACAACATACCTGCATAAGAGCAGACGACACACATTAAAGCTGAAAAGACGACCCACACATTAATACAATGATTCTCAATAAAGTAGGATACAGCATAGATATGTCCACATGTCTCTCAACCTTTTCATACATGGTTAAGTTTCTACAGTAGAAATATGTAAGAAAATAATTTTGATTAGAGAAATATGTAAAATTGTAATCATTCGAACATTCTGCAATTTCATGAAATAGTAAAAACAATGTTGCAAACCAGGCTTGCAATGCATTTTAACTTTACAAAACATGACTGCTTAAAATGGAAACATTCTGACATTTTAACTTTACAAAAATATTATTTGCTATTTTTATCAATAAATAAAGTTAAATACTCTAATTTAAATATAATTTTATTTATTTATTAAAGACAGTAATTGGGTAAAGGTCAAGCCTACCCGAAGCTGGTAGGGCACCCATTGGCCAGTAAGCTGCTAGGGCATGGTCCCTAGATTTAGGTAGTGAGTGGACCCAACCCTGCCCACTGACCAGTTGATGGTCCACGAGACCGATTTTGGACCAGCTTGTGAACTAGTTTTGACAGGTCAAGCTGACCCGACAAGTTCATGACCCTAAATGCCATGTCAGCACAATCATCCTTTCAGAAGTGTCCACAAACACATCATGTAGGAGGATCCTACAGGATTTCTGTAGCTATAGGACAGGGAAATAATGAAATACAAGCCATTCTCATCCTAAATATAATATACAATACAACACTGGTGTTCGATTTAGAACCATATAGCAATTAAAAACTACTGGATAATATGACCACACAAAATATATATATATATATATATATATATATATATATATATATATGGGTGGTGATTTTCCCACTCCCCTTTTATCCACCTACACTCCCTTTTGTTTTCAAAATACTTTTTACTATGAGATAAAAGGGAGTGTGAGTGAACAAAAGAGGAGTGAGAACATACAATTTAAAAAAATGGAGTGTAAGTGGATAAAAAGGGAGTGGGAAAATCAGTACCCATATATATATATAACCGTAACAGCGCCACTATTGCTTCCCCATTGACCAGATTTAAGATTAAAACGATAACAGAACAAGTACCATCAGAAAACCTTAGAAGTGGTCCAACAATTAACAGTGAGACAGCATACCAGGGTCCTCCCGGAAGGCGTAGACCTTGTCGTTGACCAATAGTGTAGAACCAAAACCCCCGATGTGTTCCTAGGAAATCTCCTGTCTCAGCTTCCAATATGATACCTTCCTTCTCCCCTATGTGTCTTGCAATAAATTCACTGAACTTTATCTATAACCAAAAAGGAAATTAAAAACTGAGGGAATTATGTTAGGGATTTAAAAAAGGCTGTTCAAGTAAACCCATAAAGAATCAATCAATACTACTACTCCAAGTTCGACCATATGAATGTTGGCATCCATATGGATAGTTGTGCCATTCAAAGGATGAAATTATCTTCTGGAAAATGGGTAAGTATGTTGGGAGCTCCACAAAACATACCTTCCCAAGAAAGCATATTCCTTGTGAATCCTTTCTCTGTTTGTTAAGCAGATCAAACTTCGTTGCAAGCTTGCGAACTTCATCCTATAGAAATATCCACAGAAATAAGAGAAAGGGGTTGGGGTAATAGAACTACATGCAAGAGTTTACAGGATGGCCAAAAAAATAACAAAATAAATTAAAAGGATTACATATGTATGAAGGTGGAAAAGTTTGACATCAACAAGTTAATAACATCACTTCATTTCCAATTTTATTATTGGAGAAGTTAATACAGTTACAGTGAGCCTTTTCAATTTTTTTTACACAATACATGCTTTCTTCCCAGCTGAAGTTTGTGATTCAATAAATATTCAACATTTAAAAGATGTTTATATTTTACAACTAGCTAAAATAAGTATCTAGTGAAGTGTTGCATATCATTAAAACTAGTACCCACTCACCTTTGACAGACAACCAAGTGGGAATATTAATTGCTTAAGTTGAGCCTGAGAAAGATGTGAAAGGAAGTATGTCTGATCCTTCACCTAAAATTTCAAAAATTAGACATTATTCAGCAAGCAATCTGCATATAGCAAATAGCACACAAAGAGAAGCAATGCCAAGATGCAAACTTTGAATTCCATAATGTTTCAAGGTTTATAATCACAGAGCCACATATACCTGAGGACGTATGAAGACAACAAAACTTACATATATGTCTACACAGCAGAAGACCCTATTTGAATACCAAATGAATTAACCTCAAACTTAACAAGTTTAACAAGTCAAGATTGATAATCCAAAATGAAAAGAATAAAAGTTGTCAAATTGTATCGAATATAGGTACCATATCTTGTGATAGTTCTAAAACTGAATCCTTGTCCATTTCACCTGCAGATGGGTGGACAACATTTGCATAATGTCCAGATGCCACATAGTCAAACTTCATACAGCTGATGGCATCCATGAATGCACCTGAAACGTTACATAAGTTTAAGAAACGAAGAACTATATTTGGATTCCGAATCATTATAGTCACAACTGAATTTCAAGTTCAACTCACTGCATACCAAACTTTATTCTTGTATTGCAAAGAACGTCTGGATTAGGAGTTCTACCACATCGATACTCTTCAATAATGTAGGACACCTGAAACATGAAAAAATAACTTTCATGAATTAATTGAATAATAAAGACTAATTTCTTCCAGTTACCCAACAAGAAGGCAGCTGAGGATGAAGGCTGCCCAAAAATATAATTATTTATTTAAAGTTTTAAACTCACATTGTGAGATACACAGAGCTTGATTAGCAAGCATATAACTAAAAGACTACATAGAGATGTGACAACTATAAGAACATAATCTACAATTGAAACAGAGGAAAAGTAATGCATACCACATTCTTCCAATATTCATTCGTCAAATGCACGACTTCTAGTGGGACATCAACCTGTAAACCAATATCATTTCGTTTCAGTTGTAAAGCACCCCCTTTGCCCAACCTATCCAAGAACACCAAGATAAACCTCTTCTATCACAGCTAGTAGCGTAGGGCTTCCCTCAAAAACATCTATGTATGGATTCATGTATGTAAAGCAGATGGATGGCAAATGAGGATAGATAAATTCAAGAACCAGAATGAAGGTGGGTTCATTTGTTTTGTGTGTGTGCTCTGTTCGAGAACCATAGAATCCCAAAAATGAGAACACTCAGAATGAAGGAAAAATAAGATTATAAATCAAATTCTTTTCACACCGCTTATGTTTGTAGTATAGAAATAAAGTGACCTGATTGCAGACAGCTTTTGCATACTTCAAATCTTCTTCCCATGGGCATTCTGACCAAAAGTTCTCAAAGTCTTCCTACACAAAACCATACATCAGAAGCAGCTTTTCTTTCTTTCTTGGGACTAAAACACACAACAACATTAACAAAGAAGTGAATAAGAAATATATAAAGACACTAGCGTCCTACCTACTCAAAATAATCCAAATAACTCGCGGGAAACATATTGGAGCTAACTAATGACTCGTTAAAATAAAGAAAGCCCATTTGAAAGAAGTTTCGAACTTCAGTCCAAATTTGAACATTGAATCAGACTCAGCTGAATCTAAACCTCCATAATATTAAATGATTCCAACTAATAACCCAACAAGTTCACGTTTTGCTATATTTCTGCAATACCCAAAAGAAAAGTTTTCCCAATTCTTCTAAAACTGTCAAAATAGGTTTCATGTCAGCATACTTGGAACCAAATTTTGAGGTAAAAGGCGGTGCAGGAGTGACCGGCGGCATGGAGGAGGCGGAGGGCGACACTGCTATCGACGCCGCCGCTAAGCAAGACGGCAACTTTAAGGCTCTGATGGGGCATAGAGCAGGACAAGTAAGGCCCAAGATCTCCATTGATGCTGTTTGGAGGATGTGGAGTTTGGGGAACGGCGGAGGAGGAAGAGCAGCAGCGAGAGAGGGGTCTGAGGAAGAGGGTTCTTGCGGGGTTTGGAGAGTGAGGGAAAAGTGAGAGATGGAGCTTGAGGATTTGGTGGGGCTTGAGAGGGAGATAGATGGAGGAGATGTAGGGGAGGAGCACAGAGGCCATTGCAGGCACGGATCAATGTTCGAAAATGGGGTGGGCTTTACTTTCAAATTAATTATCCCAAGCGGAAACTAGGGGTAGGCACGGTCCGGTTCAGTTCGGTTCTCATCTCAAACCGAAATCGAAATTGGTATTATTTAATCAGTCTAGTTTGGTTTGGTTTAGGCAAAAAAAATTTCAAAAACCTACCGGTTCAGTTCTAACCGGTTCCAGTCTGGTTCCAACAGATTCCGGTTTTGAACCGGATTATTAATTTATTTTTATTTTTAATTCTTTTTCAAAAAAAAAAATAATTTTTTTACTTTTTTTATTAAAAAAATTATAATCAATAACTTATTTTTTAGGCTTAAAAATTAACAAATAATCCAATTCATACATTTAGAAATTTTTTGAAGTTGAACTTGGAAAAATAGTGATTATAACATTTAAAATATGGCATTAGATTTTAAAAATTTGTAAAAATAAAAAATATATATATGACCGGTCCAGTGCGGTGTAAAATTGTAATCGAAACCGATTGGAACTGGTTTGGTCCGGTTTCGGCCCGGTTTGTTGACTTTTTTGGTCAACCGATTTTTTTTTCACCGATTCGGTTCAGTGTTCCTGTTTTTCGGTCCCGATGCCCACCCCTAACGGAAATTTTATCTCAAACAGTTTTTCTTTTCTTTCCTTCTTTTTTTCTTGGTTCTGTTTTTCTCTTGACATTTCCAAAAGATCAATTTTATGCCAAGCTCCCAACCAAAACCAGCAACAATGGCATGTTTTTAATTTTGAAGAAATTAGATTCTTGGGTAGGATGTGATATTTTAATTCTTAAAAAAGTATTACATGAAGAATCCATCTTTTTTATTTATTTATAGGAATCCGGATTCCAACTTCTCCTCAATCAAATTTCTCCTTAATTCAATTCTTCATAAGCCAATTACGGATACCCAAAAACTAAATTCGACTGGATTTTTTTTTCTTTTTCTTTTTGGATATGTGAAGGTGTGGACTGAGAAAAGGTATGGGATGGGACTATATCTAGGTACTAATCTTTTTCCCATAATTTAGGTTGGGCCATTGCGAATGCATCACCCTCAACCTTGATTTCATTACATGTACAAACCAACAAGATATGTGATTGTCTTCGGCCTAAAAATTGTTGCACTAAGTTACTGGGGTATATCTCAGTTGGTTGAGCTCTTTCATCTCCATCCATGTAGGTAGAGATTCGAAACACCCAAGTATCCAATGAATATTTGTGTAAACCCCCCTCCCCCAATCGATTGTTTAAAAAAAATTGTTGAACTTAGGCCATCCCCAATGCAGCTCTAAATGGGGTTAAACCCTACACACACATTTGCAAAACTTATCACCCCACCTCAAAAATCCATCTCCACTGGTAATAGATAGTGGGCTCTGTCTACCCCAGCCTATTGGAGTAAGGGCAAGCTCAATGGTGGGCTCTAAATGAGCCTATAAATATGGTGGATGTTTAGAACTTCGGTAGAATCTTTTGGGCTCTAAAATGTATCTAGCGAACAATAGAGAGCTCTATATTTCTTTGTGATGTTTTTGTTTACATGCTAGTATTTTTGTTGTTGTTGCGAAGTTGGCTAAAATTGCCCTTTTATAAAACACTTAGTTTGTAGTAGCCACTTTATGTCATTCTAAAATAACCATACATTCATAACATCCACACCATTAAAATCCTTTTGTTTGCAAAAAAAAAAACAAAAACAAACAAACATCCACGAGAATAGGATGTTTGCATTTCGAACAGTATGAGTCAAGTTAAAGACACTCCCTTGATTTAGAGGCAAGAGTAGGAGGAATAGATGAATATATTGACCTACTCTTTGTGCCAATAATATATTCGTCATCCTATACATGACAGTATAATCGTTGAAAATTCGTGCAGCGTTAATGCCAACACCACCAACCTCACAAAACTTTGCAGTAAGTCTAACTACTTGGTACTCATGAGTAACTCATCCTCCTCCCTTGGAAAGGAGCATAATAAACAAAAGTGTCAACTCTCACCAGATTCTATCGCTTTCTACTCACATCAAATGTAACGACATAAAAAAAAATTTCTTTCCAATCGCATAATGAAAATAAAATAATGTCATAACAAATTATCTATCCACTTATATCTATACATGTTTCATAATCATTATAAAATAGAAAAGGGTTATTTACTTAAATGGTCCTCAAACTTATACTCGAATTGCATTTTGGTCTCTCAACTAAATTATTTGTTCAAATGGTCCACCAACTTTTTATTAATCGGCCCATTGGTCATACTGTTATATTTTCTGTTAAATTTAGTCATATGAGCAGCACATGCTACATTTGTGGGGTAATAAGACTTTTGACAACTAAAAAATAAAAATATATGATTAAAAATTAATGCAAAATTTTCTTTATTATTAAAATTAATTAAAAACTATAAAATAATAAATAATAAAAAACAACCACCCACCCCATCCTCTCTCTCTCTCTCTCTCTCTCTCTCTCTCTCTCTCTCTCTCTCTCTCTCTCTCTCTCCGTTTTTTTTATTTAAATTTTTTCAGTTGTGACTTTTGTAACATGCATGTTATTATTTATCAACCCGTTACACGACTTGAAACCAGCACGATAAAAGACGACCCGAACCCGACACGACACGTTTATTAAATGTGTTGGGTTCGGGTTGAGCATTCTTGACACGTTTAATATCCCGACACGACACGACCCGACCCATTGCCAGCCCTAATCAAAGGTACTTCTGGTGGATTTTAGAAGTTCTGGAAAATAAGAAAAAATTGGAAAAGAAAAATTAAATTAGGCGTGACATGTGGCGAAATCTGGAGTGTTGATGGTGCGCTGATGTAGCTGATCGGACGGACGAGAGGAGCTGACAAGCCGCTGATGTTGACTGATGGATGGGGACGTGGAGCAGGTTGATTGGCTGGAGTGTGCTGACGTGGTCGTTGGTGGTCCCGACCTGAGTCAAGATCCGTGTGTTTTCTAAACAAGTCGCGCTGATTGGGTTCCTTATCAGCCGTAGATCTGACGTCATTCTTTGATCTAAGTAATCCATTTTGTGCTGCATGTCGTTTCCCTTATACGACATGTCGTTTTCTCCACTTTTTGGCGCAATCTCAGCCTTTCATCCGAATTTTTGGTGAAGATCCAACTGCCTAGATTACACCGCCAATTTCCTTTGATCTTAGCCTTCTGTTTTTGTCCGAATTTTATAGGGAAATATGCTGGTGTAATCAGCTTTTAGAGAAAAAAAAAAAAAAAAAAAAAAAAAAAAAAAAAAAAAAAAAAAAAAAAAAAAAAAAAAAAAAAAAAAAAAAAAAAAAAAAAAAAAAAAAAAAAAAAAAAAAAAAAAAAAAAAAAAAAAAAAAAAAAAAAAAAAAAAAAAAAAAAAAAAAAAAAAAAAAAAAAAAAAAAAAAAAAAAAAAAAAAAAAAAAAAAAAAAAAAAAAAAAAAAAAAAAAAAAAAAAAAAAAAAAAAAAAAAAAAAAAAAAAAAAAAAAAAAAAAAAAAAAAAAAAAAAAAAAAAAAAAAAAAAAAAAAAAAAAAAAAAAAAAAAAAAAAAAAAAAAAAAAAAAAAAAAAAAAAAAAAAAAAAAAAAAAAAAAAAAAAAAAAAAAAAAAAAAAAAAAAAAAAAAAAAATCTCAAAGATGATGATGATGATGTTTGTTGGTGATCAAATAATAAGGTCAAGGTGGTAGGAATTTGAGTTTCAATCATGTGATTAAATTATTATTAATTCCTTTTTATTTTTCTTGAGAATTGTGAGCGTTGGATTGATGGAGATCTAACGCGAGAAATTGAGGTGAAAGACGCGCGGGAATTATGTGACAGGTGCCCGCGCTCGCACGTCTTTCATTGCTGTCAACGGCTTTTTAGACAAGTGGAGTTTTTGTGTGCCCTTTTGCTTCTTTGAAGAATGGTTCACTCGCCACTTGGAAGCCAATGAACTTTTGCCACGTCATGGTACGGATGCATTTGTTATTTGCGGAATTTGTGTTTTGATTGTGATGATGGCATGCATTGCTTTGGTAGGTTACTGGTTGGAAATGGTGGGGAGAGGGGCAATGGAATGTTATGTAATTGATCAGATGGGAGTGGGGCATTTCTAAAGACAAGGGACAGCGATGTTGGTGCCTACTTCATTTATCTGGGTTGCCCAAAAATTCATTATTATTTTTTAACAAGCAATTTGGGATGAGAAATCGAACTTAGAACTTCAAATGTAGGGATAAATGCCCTTCACCGCTTAAGCTACCGTTTGCTAATTTGCTAATGTTTTATAAACAATGTTGGAGTACGGATTTTCGGACCTCATATCTTCTGAAAATAATATGCAAAATTAATAAACCTCAAAGATGAGGGGCCTTAGTGTGGTGCTGGCAGAGAACTCTCCAACACTGAAGTTAGTATAATTGGGAAGTTTTGAGCTTATTCATATTAGCATTTGAAGCATTATTGCAAACCTCCCAATTAAAGCCAAAATAGTGTTTCTTTTTCAATCAAGCCAAAATAGTTTGAACCGTGGTTGATGTTAAAAGAAACTGCGGACCAAATGTCGTGCTTATGAAGAGCGTAAATTGCTTCATTCCTGGCAGTTTGGCATACCAAAAACTTTGCAGCAACCAGTTATACAAGTGGGAAGTTCGACTTATGATAAGAACAAAGGCCCTGTTCATAGTGAATATTGATTCTCATCTCGTGGTCATCGGATATTTGTAGGTCAGCTTGTAATGCTTGGGGATCAAATGGGAATACACAGGACTCAACCTTGCAGGGACTGGCGATAGGAGATTTAAAAAAAAAATTTAATACAAGCGATATTGGGGGAAGTGGGACCTAAAATCTAAACCTCAAAAAGTACTTCAAAAGGAAGTGGTTCTGATTATATTCACTTATATTTGATGTGGCAAAGCACATAAAGATATGCATTATTTTGCCTATGAGGAGAAAATCAACTGCCCTACTTGCATTGCATGTGCGAAAAACAGAGCAAGCTGCCTCTGAGACTAATTGCAGACCAACCAAAAGCAGGTTTAATTTTCTAGAAAAGGATTAGTATTGGGTTTTGTCATATTTAATGAATTAATCAGCTAGAGACCAGAGTATATGACTTTGTTGATCCTAGTTTTCTGTAAATGATATACATATACATATATATGCCAATCCAAGCACACAGGCTCAAAGGTTTATAAAGAGAGACTAAGACAGAGTTGGATGAGATTTTGGACTCTTAAACCTGCAGGCCTACCTAGGCAGTCTAATTAGTGTTGTAATCTTAGAAATATGGAAGAACTATCATATATCTGAATGTCAAATGAACACTTAATCACAATTATGGAGATAAAAGAAACAAAAAAAGGGTAGAAAGGTGAATTAGAAATGATACAGACAAACAAGTAATGTAATCTGCTCCATTTCGGAAAATGACTATAAAAATCTATACTCTGATTTACCTCCAAAGAAAAGCTCACCCTTGCGCGATTGCAACCCTTTGTATCATGCTTTCTTCTTTTTGGATTTGAGCATCACATATCCAATGAAAATGCATAAGAAGCAGAGAAGCACCATGCCAGCAAACACAGGTATTAATATGGCATATTCTTGGGGCAGGAAATACCGGTGGATAAAGTGATCACTGTTTACAAACGGCTGAAACACAACGAGAGTAAATATCAACAGCGGGTTAATATAAGTGTGAGAAGCATTTGAGAAAGAAGTAGCGAAGCAAGGCAGGTAATTAACTGACCAGGATTATGACCCAAAATGTGTAATAAGTGAATATAGATAAACTGATATAGGATAACAGAAACCCAACGGCCTTGTCTGCCAATTCCATTGTGATGTCTGTGGCTTCTGCTACCTGCAATTACAAAGAGGATGAGGATCAGCAACTTCATATGAAGTAGCGAACAGTTTCAACAAACAAGTACAAGTGCAGGAACATGTATTACATTATACAGGGAAACCACCTTGAAATTGTATCTAAACCCGATGGATAGTTTTTATACTTTCAAGGGAACCATATACCACCACCAAAACCAGTAGCATTTCAAACCAACAATATGCTATCTCCATAAGCAGTAGCAAATCAGATTTACAAGAGATCCATATAGTTCTGACAGATTCTAAGCAACCAAAGCATTTGGTTTTAAAACACGAAAAATATGAAAGGAAGGGTGCATGAAAAATACAACAATTATGCAACCAAAGCAATTGGTTTTATAACATGAAAAATATGAAAGGAAGGGTGCGTGAAAAATACAAAATAATAAACCCTCTAAAGTAGCAATCAACAAAAATTTTAGAGCAGCAACTTAACAAAACCGCCCAGGTTCAAAGAGAACCGACCATCAATACCAAGCACCATTAGGTTTTTGGCATCTTGTTCAAAGATGCAATCTTTTGAACCATATTGACCAAAATCATAAAGGGCATCACCTAAATTAAAAATTCAATGAGATACACAAATGCATACACACATAATTGAAAAATCAAACATGGAGTAATTGGATTTGCTTTCCATAGCAAACAAAACCTTAATTGGTGCTGCAGATTGGGCATTGGATTATGATATTGACCCTTCCAATGCCGAACGAACCCAATTCGAAATTTGGGATTTCAAGTTTTCAATTTCTTTTCCTACACTGTTACACTGTCACAATCAAATTTACTTACCAGAGACAAAGTCCTTCTTTCAACCTCAACGATGATCGCTATCAGGCCAATTTCGATTTCCCTCTCTCCCTCTCACTGTCTGCAAGCCCTAATCGTATACAAAGAGATATTGAAGGACGAGACTGGCGCGTTCAGAACAGAAGAGAGACCTTGCATGCCCCCGGCTTAATATGTCTCTTTTTGAAAAATTCTTTTGGACTTAATTATTCCAAACATACAGCCCATGGTCAGCACCCTTGAAGGAAAGCCCAAAACATTATTCATAAGTTACGGCCTCATTTTTCAACCGGAAAAAAATAGTTACGGCCTGTCAAAACTTATTTGAAGAACACCGTTGTAGAACCACTCACATCTCTAATTAAAATGAAATATGGCTTCAGGAATTGATGCATTGCCTCTCCTGTCGATCATTATCTTTATGGTTTCTACCTGTGGCTTGAGGAGCTTCATTATGTGTGCGGGTTTTAAGCTTTTTTTATATTTCAACCTCGTTCAACTTCATGAACTACACTGAAATTTTCTCTAACATTTGAAATGGCTAAAGATGGACCTCCATTTTTAATTTTGGCAAAATAACATTCTAAACTACTCTAGTGTATTGAATGGAGGATTGAACTCGGATGTAATAAGACGAGTACACATACCCTAACCAACTGACCTAAAACCACGTCTCCATTTTTAATCTCTAACTTGACTCTTTTCATCACAGTCCATTAATTTGTTGACTAATCCCAAATTGGTGAACGAGGGTTGCGCAACAATTTCAGTACACAAAAACATGTGAATTTTGTGCACAAGCTCCAACTTCAAAACTAGCTGAGCATCAAATTCATATCATATATCAGTTTGATAAACATGTGATCCATTAGAATTTTCAAATTTTGAAGCAGCGAAATCTTTGGCCAAATTACGGCGAGAACTGATTACAAAGCAATAATCAGGATTTAAAATCCCCGTAATTTAATTACAAAACCGTCTGATGTCACAAGCCACTACAGCTTCCCAAAAAGAACAAAGAACAACAGACAAAACAAAGAGTATCATATAATTGTCCCAGAAAAAGAAAACAAAACAAATACACTTCTCTGAACGCAGATTTTGAAAAACAGCAGTCAACCCCAGAGGAACTGTATTGCATCCAACATCCTCAAAACCTATCTGCTCCTTAATTTGATCCCAACATTGTCTGGCTCCTAAAGAAACACATAGGGGTACATATTTTCCCCATCATTTTTGCAGCATCCACTGCATTATATCTTTCCGTATAACTCCCCCAAACGCACCTGCACTGTAGTTCGATCTTAACGGTTGAGGCACATTCATGCATAAGTGCCTGTACTGGTTTATCATCCCAGAAGGCTTTCGTGATCTCATCATCATTGTAATTGGAGGAAGGGGTTTAGACCACATATTGGTCATTGTTGAAAACAGATGCCTGTCGGATTCCTGATTTCTGGTTACCTGGGTGCTTCCAGGAGTTTTGAGGTGGGAGGAGTTTACCTTATTCATCATGCTAGCACTAGTGGGGGGTTTTTCCAGGGGACCCCGAATCTGAGCTTCGGGTTTCATCCGATCAAGCCATCGTAGGATCCGGTTACCAAGATTTCGACCAACTTCTATGTCTCTTTCCTGTATGCTCTTGTGAACCTTGATAGCTACATCAAACACAGCACGTGTTCGCCTTTGAATGAAAGAAAACACAATGGCCGTAGCAGTTATAAACTAATACAAAAAACAAATGATTAATAGTCATTAATTTAACGAACTATTGCAGTATCACAGGAAACAAGTAAAATTGGATCGTAGCAACAAACAAACTGCAGTGATGGTGGCCCTCGAATCCTACCGATGATTAAACACATCTGATAGTTTGAATGCTAAATATGTTCTGATGAGCTATGAATTTGTGCTAAATATTGAAACAAAAACGTCCAGGATAATAATCAAATGTTTATCTAATCCAGGAAGAACACATTACATGAAGATTGCAAGAGACAAATGAGAACTGCGAAGGGGTTTGGAGATGTCAGCAACAACAAATTGCAGAGTTTGATGCAACGAAACTTATGCGTAATGTTAAGTATTTACCCAACAGAAATATTTTAACACTGAAAAAATGGGGAAATAACTGGCCATTCAGAGCTAATTTCATATAAGGAAATTGAAAACATCAAAGAGAATAAGATTTGAGAAACATTCAACAAATTATATATTATTAAGATTACAAAAATTCCTAAACCACGAAGAAGAAAGAGCACACATACATTTGAATGAGACTGATGCAAAACATGCATTAAACCAATTTTATGGATGCAAAGATAAAGGAAAGAAAAATCATGCAAAATAAACCAAAAATTATATTCATATTGAGAGGAAATTCTAGAATTATTGATTTGATTAAATACATCAAACTCTTCCCAAATCACATCTATTTCAAAGAGAAATTAAAGGAAAGAAAAAAGAGAGAAAACAAGTACCTGTGAGCAAATTGACGGATCTTGGGGTGCTTAGGGCTTATGAGGCGTCGCTGAATCTTCAGAGCCAGTCTATAAGTGCGCCTCAGCCCCAAGAAATAGGCTGTTCCTAATGTGATCTCCCACAGCACCATTCTTCGTTCCTTTCTTCCTTCCTTCGTTTTCGCTTTGTGCGTAGCTTGTGTTTGTGCTATTGTCTCTAAGAACTTTTTCTTATTATGGTTTTGTTTTTAGGTTTTCGTTTCTCGCAAGCTTTCCACGGGCCGCCAGAAATTTCGATCCTCGTCAACAACATTCTCAGTTTCCCTCTGCTTCGCGTCACCGATCAAAGCGTCATCGTGTACGTGGGGATACTCAAGTTGATCTCAACCGTTCGTTAGTGTTGATGAAGTCAGTAAGGCTGGGCTCTTCTCTACATAAAGGCCCAAACTAGTAGAGTTTTAAGTCTGGATTGAAATTTCAGGCCCAACGTATTGATAAAAATAAAAAATACATCACACTAGGGAAAACAGTTTGTGGCCCAAGTCTCAATCCTAGCCAACTCACGAGTCGTTTTATGTTGAGTGCTATATATGGACTATAGATGTGGTCCTTCATATTAGTAACATAATTCATTTGAATAGTAACTTTACTTAAGTTCAATAAAATGATCGTGTCGCTAATATGAAGGTCCACATAAAAACAGTTCTAGCGGACTGCCCTTGCCAGGGCAGGAGGGGGCCCTAGCCCCAAATTCGTCTTCTAGCGGGGGCTGAAGCTGCCAGGGCAGCTGTTGGGGCCGACGAAACCAGGCCAACCCTTAGGCAAAACGAGCTCGTGCTCTAACCTGGGTTTGCTTACGTAAGCGATGACGTCAACAACAACAAAAAAATCTACAAAAAATTTCAGAATTTTTTTAAATAAATACTTAGTCATATTTTTTACTTCCCACATCAAAAATCTATATAAATTCATCTCCTCATATCTCATGTGAATAGTGTCTGTCATGGCAATGGATGGAAACAACACAACCTTGTATTATGCCTGCCACTATTCACATGAATGGTAACAACCCTTGCCTTGTCCTTACCCTTTGTCATGGCAAAATGAATGGAAGTGTTCTAAGGGATCCATATATGATACCTTAACTATATAATTTCGCGCCAACTCACCTTTATAAGTAAATTGAGTCCTAGCCCACTCAACTACTTACACCCTAGGCCAGACCGCTTTGTTTTGGCCCAGACTACAATGATATTGAGTTAGGAGATTACGTATAGAGGATCTTGAGTGTGGCATAAACATAATTGGTCTTAATCACATGAGTTACAAATTTCTTGTATTCATCAAAATATTACTTTACAAGAAAGAATTTATTGCTAATGTAGGTTAGGTTAGTTGGCCAAGGTAGGGAGTCCACCCCTTGCACTTAAGTTATAATCCCTCTCATAGTAAATTAGAATAATTTCAAGTATTTCAAGTGATTGTATTTACCCATGCATTTAAGTGTTAGGTTCAATTCTCCTCTCCCCAATATCGTTTGTGTGTGTGTGTATATATATATATATAATAAAAAATAATAAAACTATATAAAAAAATGATTGATTTGAAAAAGAAAAAGAAAGAAATTTTATCCACAATGTCTTTATTTTTTGTATTTTAAAAAAAGCAACAAATAGAAACAAAAAGAAAAATAAAGTTCCTATTTAAAAATCCCAGATTCGAGTCATACAGCTCACTAATAATTTCTTTCCCTTTTTTCACCCACTCTCTCTCTCTCTCTGTCTCTCTCTTTCGTTTTCTCTTTGTCCTTCTCTGTGTATTCAAGTCTGTGACCATGCAAAGACAATCACTGGGGGGCTCACCGGGCTCCAAGCTCCACCAGGCCCATGGCGGAGCCAAGGAACAGGCTCTGCTCCTAGACGACGCTCCCAACCGCAGTAACAAGGACCTTTTAGTCTTTTCCACCTCCACCTCCTCTTCAGTCTCCGCAGACGACGACCACAAAGCATCAAAGCCTCACCGCCTGTCATCACCGCCCCCCACCGCTCCACACAAATCCATTCACGTCATCCCCGTCCTCACCCTCCTCTGCTTCCTCATCCTCTTCCTCTTCTCCCACAGCCCCTCCCAATCAGGTAACTCTCAATCAACGGCTCTTAACTCATCTCGTTTTTTTTAATCTTCATTCCTGACCGTCGGTTTCGTTTCCGTTTCAGATTTGGCTCAGTTCAATGGCTTTACGAAACTACCAGGGAAAAAGCGCGCAGGTACAATGCAGATAATTAATCGTTCTCAATGCAGATATTTTTTGCGTTTTAAAATTTATTTTCTGTTTTTTTTTTCGTGCTTTTCGTTTTTGTAGACGCCACCGACAACGAAATCGGCGTCCTGAGCCGATTTATTGATATCCGGAAGAGCGATGTTTTGGCGATCCGCAGCCTCAGGAACTTGCAGGACACACAAGGAACCCGAAAACTCCCCCCGAGATCCCGCTCCCACCGGAAAATAGCCGATTTTTAAGCCGCATTCCCTGCTTCTCTTCTCTACTCTACTCTACTATGTCCTCATCGGCTCTCCGTGAAAGAACTCGCACGTGCGTCACCGTCAGCTTTTTTTTTCGCACGTGTAAATTCAATTGCAGAGCAAGATCTTTTTCTTTCTTTTTTTTTAAAGTTTAAATTTATTTTAATTTTTTGTGTAAACATATTACTTGAGCGCTTCAGTCGCTTAGGGAAAGATTTCGAACAGCGAAATAACGTAATTCTTACAGATCTTTTTGTTTTTATAAATTTCGTGTGTGTCGTACGCTAAAGTGAGCGGGTAGGGAGGCGTTAATTATATGAAGGGACGTAAACGTGCGCCCGATGGGATACAGCTGGATTTTCGTACTCGACCGTTGCTCTGCACCCTCGGGTTTCGGTCGGAATTTGCTAGCTGGAAAATTGAAGGAGTAGATACGTTAACTGCGTTCTGTGTCACCGCCGGTGTATAGATTTTTCTGTGGTGTTGGCTTCTCCTGCTTACACGTGGATAGCAAAAACGTTAAAGTTGTCACTATGTGGACTCTTTTTAAAACTTTTTTAATTTATATAGCTTTCAATTTTTTTAAAATGATTGATATTTTAATCTAAGGGGAGGGGGTGCCCCCACAAGGGGATTTGACCTGGTGCATGGGGTTGCAAACAAAGACCTCACCAATGTCGACGGTTTAGTACACTGAATTCAATAATTGCTATTTTAATTCTTGGGATTTTTTTGTAGAAAATGTTCATGAACTTACACCTCAGCTTTATTTCGTTAAAAAACAAATTTAAGAGAAATGTCATCGTAATTTTTAAAATCCATGATTTATCATCTGACTTTAACAACATTCAATTTTCCATCAATTTTAAGAGTATTTTAGTCTTTTCATATTTAAGGAAAAAAAAAGAGAAAAAATAGATCTCTCTTCCTTTCTCCACTATCCCAACACCACCCGCCCTCAAAACACATTGCATTGGACCCCACCTGTTCTTAAAACACATCGGAGGGGGAATAGAAAAACTAAAATACCCTTTAAAATAAATGAAAAATTGGATAGTGTTAAAGTCATATGACAAATCATGGATTTTAAAAAATTAAAGAGACATTCTCTTAAATTTTTTTTTAAAGTGACAAATTGAAACTTAGATATAAGTTCCGGTGACATTTGTACAAAAATCTTTTTAATTCTCCAAAGTGTAGGTATGCTAGCATGCATTACCGCTAAGTATTAAATTATTGAGTTTGATTTTGATACACATGTAAATAACTTTTTTTATGATTGTAAAAGAAATAATTAAAAAAAAATCACTTAATAATATAATTCGAAAATCAATATAGACTTTTTAATGCATAGGGTGAAATGCGTTTTGCTTTTTTACTCCAAAAAATGGTTGTTACCCTCATTCATTGAGATTTTTATTGTGCTATATTTTTTAGAATTATAAATTTAGAGTGGTGATTTCCCAATTTATACATTTTAAATTATATCAAGTTAACTAATATTAGTTAAATTATAAATAAATAATTTTATATATAAAAAAAAAGAAGGCTGAGCCTAATAGCGTGGGCTTGTAACTAAGCAGAGCATTAAAGTGATTGGTTGTTTGAAACCTTCTCAAATGAGGCATATGTGGTGGTTTTGGGTTGTTCACCTTGGTGGTGGTGGTGAAGTTGCACAAAACACTTCCCCTACCTCAAGTTAGTAGGGCCAACCATAAAGGTGGGTAGCAAAACGAAAAAAGAAAATGAAGGGAAATACTCGTAGGTGAAAAAGAAAGGTAATCTTGATAATTTTTGCGCCCACATGCATTTTTCTCTCTCGCTTTTCTTTTATGGAGTTGACCTCAATGGATTGTAAAATTGGATGCAAATGTGCATCAAATTTCACATCTCCAGCCAATAGCGTATATATATATATACTCTCATTTACCTCACCATTGGAGAAATTTCTATTAGATAGGGGCGTAAATGTAGCATGCACTGCCCCTTATACCCCGACAATGAAGTTGCTTTAACTAAGTCACTATTTCTAGGTGTATGTACCGATTGAATTGAATTGACCATGTTGTTTCGGTAAGGATTCAATGAGCGTGAACTCATTAGGGGTTTGCATCGGTTATAATTCAACCTATTTTTAGAAATCCTTATCCATATTAGAATCCAATCTCATTTTTTTTGTTTTACAAGTGAAATTGGGAGAAGGTAGATTCAAACACAATATCTCAAGTGCAGAAGTAACTGCTCTTAACCATTTGATTTGTAGGCCCTTTGCAAATCCAAATTAATCTAGCCTCTTTTGAGGAATCCATCTCTAATTCAATTACAATGGGTTTGCCATATTAGAATCCAATCAGATCCGATCAAGTATGCAAATCCAACCCAATCCATAATTCTATTTTGAGGAAAAAACCCAAAGGAAATATCCTAGCCGTTGCTTCTTTGCGCGTCGGTGGCCTCCCTCCCTACCAACCTCCCTTCTCTTGTCCTCATCCCCTCTCCTTTCATTCCCCCCCGCAAAGGCTTTTTCCCCCCATGATTCATCTTTGCTCTTTTGTTTGGTGATGTGAAGCAACCGCTTTGAAACATTGTCGTCACCATGAAATAGTCGTCGTCTTTTGGTCCACGCATACAAAGAACATGTCGGGTTTGGAATTTGCCGGTGTGTTACTATGGGTTTAACTTGTATGACGCTATTGCTCTCTTCGGGTTGTTGTGGAGGATGTGGAGCGGTGCTTATGCTTCTTAGATTGTTTATGTGTTGTTGTGGTTTTGCCTTATTTTTAGGTTGTTTTATTTCTATTTAGCTTCAGCTTTTGATATAGATTTGTCGTTTCTACTGTTGCACAGTGGATCTGTATTAGAGATTTGAGTACACGTGCTTCTAGTTGTTGAACCGGGGATTTTATTTATCTTTGGTCCCTGGAGAATATTTATTCATATTCGGCACATCGTTGCTTTGTACTTTTGTTTATTTATCAATAAAATACTATTGCTTATTCTCAACCCAAAAAATATATATTATATTTTGAGGAATCCATATCTAATTCAATTAAAATGAACCAATTAAGAATGCTTGGCTCTCATGCTCAATTTTTTCAATTACTTATGGGAATTCCCATAATTTTTTTAAATGTAATATCCTCTCTTCTGGAGGGAATTTACTATTTGATGTGATTAATTGCAAGTGGACAATATCACTCAAATTAGTATAGTAGTAAATAAAGTATCGTTCTAATATGGATCAATTTAATATATTGAATACTAGAGTGATTTATTTATAATTATATTTGAATTAAACGATAAGAAAATTATGATGATTAAAATCTAATTAAGCAAGTAAAATAAATTGAGATTAAGCAAATAATGTAAAAGATGAAAACACAAATGATAAAGCACTAGGGCACCGATTTCACCTAGCTAATCCCACCCAAATCCTTCTAGCTTGTTAATCCTAATTACCTAACATGTTGATAATCATTTTCCCTTACCACACCAATACTCTCTTCCGAGTTATATTAGTTGTATTCCTTACCATCAACCCACTCTATTTCTAGTTATGAATTTAGATAGCTAAGAACCCATTAAAATTTGTGGAAAACATTGAAGATTACACAAACCATAACCTAATCTTCCGAGTCGGCTATGTAATTTATGGTACTTGTTACAAGAAGCTTTTACTAGGAATCTCCTTCCGGTCTCAACCTAATTTTTCCAATCATGCAATTAGTGGCTAATTAATTGAAAGCATTAAAAACGGTAACAAGCACTCAACATGTATAAATAAATAAAATTAACAATATCAAATCATTTGAGTATTCATAGCTAGGCTACATCATAACCCTAGTAAAAGAAATTAGTTCATGAAAGACTTATTGAGAATCATGATGGTTGATGAAGACATGGAAGGCACCGAATTCTCCAAGTAGAATGCCAAGAGATGCGAGGACAATATATATTTGTGATAATTTTGATACTTAATTGTGGCTACTTACATTCTAATGTTGCATTGTTTTTTAGAATATTTTCTATTGAGAGGAGCAATAATATACTAAACTCACACACACTACACAGATGTTAGGACTCCAACCCAGGACTTTGCTTGAGGAAACAATTACTCCAAACCACTACACTAGTGGGTCCCTTGTTATTGCATTGTTTTTAATACAAATGATATTAGGGGAGGGATGAATTGAACCGAAAACTTCAGGTGGAAGGATAAATACTATTAACCAATTCAACTACAAGCTCTTTTTAAAAAATTAAACTTTAAGGTTTAAGCTAATTATCATCATCAGATTCTCATACTGGTCAGCATTATACGGGGAATAAACAAGCTTGTATTTTTTGTATTTGAGAAATAAAAAAAATAAAAAAAGGTTATCCAAATTCCTTTGTAAAGTATGACAATCTGATGATGAGCAATATGCCTTTTCCTTATGATTATTTTATAAACTTATCTGTTTCCACAAGAATATTAGCGTGTAAAGATAGGCTAACATTGCTAATTATTGAGGGAATAAACAAGGTTTTTATATTTGTTGCCCCATCAATTTCAACTACCCCTACCACATTAATATTTTTCAAATGTTTCATTTTCATAAATTTGTATTGATATAGTTAAATAATATTGGGTCCAAAATTTTGAACAAAAATGGTGGTCCCCTGCAGTCACAAGTGGAGCTTAAAGACATCAACTCGTGATTGTTTACAGCCTGGTTTTCTTCTGGTGGAGCCTGTACCATAATTGAGTATGCATAACTATGGTATGGACCCATCAACACCCAAAAGCTTCTAAAATGTTAACTATATTACCCAACCTTTCATGTGTAAGCCTTTTCTTTTCCTTTCCTCTCTTTTAAAAGATGCAAATGTGTTTTGTAGTGCGCCATTCTGAATGGTAAAGATTAGTCCATGGATATGAAAAAAGTACAGTGAGAGTTTTGAGTCCCCTTGGTTAAGATGTTCATATGAATTTATTGTCACATGTCCAACATTCG